GATTTAATTTGCTTCCTAAAGCTGAAAGCTTTAGAGTTGAAAGATATATATAAAGTTAGAATATAAAATTTTATACCTTTAAAGGGAAAAAAATGATTTTGGCCTACCATAGATCATTTTTCTTTAATAATGATTAAGCTAACATTAATCTTTGAGTTGTTAGACTCTGATATTATATCTCTTAAAATCAATTTAAGAACTATTGTGTTGTCAAAGCGAACATAACTCAATAGAAATTGATATATATCTCCAATCAAGAAGTTGTAAGTTTGATGATCCACCTCACATATTGTACTAAAAAAAACGGGATTAGAACCTCATTTGAGACGATTATCATATATTCATCCTATAGTTTTTTTTTTTTTCAAACTTAATGCAATTATTTTAGATTAGAGCTGTATTTTATCGATTAAGATAAGCCGCATATACAAAGTTTGAAGTAGGTGGAAATTTAATGGAGCCAGTCCAACAAATTTCTATACCAAGTTACTGGATTTAGGTTTTGTTGATTAGCCAACATCAGCACTCATTTAATAGATTTACTTATATTCAGGAAATTATTTTATTTTTTGACTAACATGTATCTTTAATCTATTTTAATAATTTGCAGAAAAACTCAACTTCTGAACAATGACTAAAATTTTAAGTTAATGGATTCGGGTGCTTTGTTACCAAATAAAAATCATTCCTACACTAATAATTAATAACCTAAACATAATTGATTAAGACATATATCTTTCAACAAAAAATTGGAGGTCTAAATCTCCATCTCTTCATACTATCGAACTTAGAAATAAAAAATTAAATTTTTAATATAACTTAGAAATAAAAAAATTAAAAGTAAAAATTCAACTTTATTAAATGATGCGATGAATTTCTATCAATGTAAGACATTAAATTGGTATCTATTTTTTCAAGGCACTTTTCTTTAGTCTAAGTCGTGTCGGGTTTATTAAGGATATTAATAGTTCGATTAGATCCTGTTCTACTCTATTTTTTGACAAAAATTGACGCTGAATTAATTTATTAATTTATATTATAAATTATAGGCCCTCAATTTATTTATTAGTAATAAAGGAGTGAAGGAGGGGGAAATGACTTTTTTTTTTCTTTTTCTCTTTTTGGTGTAAACTGAAAGTTGAAAAATAACAGAAAAATAAATAAATAAAGGACAGAAAGAAGGCACATGAAAATTGCAAAGATCCGTCACGTTCACGGATGGCTGCCTTTTTCAATTCATTTTATATTGTAATTGTAACTGGACGACTTGATTTATTATTATTATTATTTTGTTAAAATAAATTTGTGTCCTTTTTTTTTTCGTGGGATACGATGAATGTTAGATTGTCTATTTGGGCTTTCCGTGGGCTGGTCGTCATGGCCCAAGAGCCATCTTTTCATTCAATCCATGGCCCATTTCTTTCTTGTTGGATTTATGTGGGTGACCATTTAAGTTTAAAATGTTTTTAATGTTGATTTTATTTATATTCTTTATAGAAACATACTTTTTATTGTTATAAAAAACATGCAAAAGACTTTTTGCAACTCAACTTAAAGTATGTTTTATCTTGAATTTTGTATTTACTTATTATCATGCATATTGCATGATCCTTTTTCATTTATGATCAATCATAATGCCATGTTTTTTTTTTGTAAGAATTATCCTTCTTAATATTGTTGATGGTTATAAATTCATAACTTAAATATAACTAACCTAATATTAAAAAAATTTACAAATATATTCAGTCGTTAGGTTGGATTGGCGTTTTGGAAGAATCTCTACGAATTCTTCTTTGCAAGAGACATTCTTGGTGGTTTAGTGATGTCTCCTATAGTCTTGCTGAGATCTTCAGATAGAATAATTTGTTTACATACGCTCTTAGGGATCTTGTTTTCTCAAATTCCAGCTTTTTACTTTTCTAAAAAAATAAAAACTTTGACCTATATAGAAAGCTAGTATAAGTTATGCTCTCTCGTGTGCTTTAACTTCTCATCAATAGATTATTCTTTTTTTTTTTTCCACTTTTAAACCTTTATAAATGACTGTTGGCTAGAAATTTCTGATTGAACTTGTATTTGTATTTTTTTGCGAATTTAACAAACTTGTATTTATATTTATGTACGTGCGTAACAATTTCTAATGTATAATTATTTTATGCTTTATCTATGATGCATACTTTGATTTAAGGGCGTTGAGCTAGTTCTAAAAATAAGGAGTTAGCATCTTAAACTTGAAATCTTCGATTATGCAACTTGAAGAATTTCTTTGACTGCAGCTTTGATGAAGTTCTCTGACTGCAGCTTTTTGATGAAGTTCTCTGGCTTGTATCTTGATGAAATTCTTCAATTATGTAGTTGATGAAGTTCTCTGGTGTGCAACTTAACGAAGTTTTCTAGATTGTAGTCGGTGAAAAGACGATCCAAATTTTGAAGTTTTCGAGTCTTCAAATCTTGAAGTCTTTTTGTGCTTTCAAAGTCATCTAAATTCTTTTGAGTGCTTTCGAGGTCTTCTAAATTCTTTTGAGTGCTTGAATGTTGTTCATAGAGTATGGTTTGTCATCCTTACTCTGATACATAATACAAAAATCTTATTGTATTTTAAAAAAATTATAGTACAATCGGTTTTGATAGGAAATTAAAAGAAACAACTAAACAAGACTAGATTTGTAAATTTTTTCGAATAACAAACAATGTGTTAATTTTTAATTGTTTGTTCCTGACTTTGCTATTTACCATTTAAAAAAGGATTTTCAAAATCTAAACTTAAATTTGAAAACTATATATATATATTTTTAGAATATGAAAAGTGCAATAATAATAAATAACAATTTGGGGTCTTACCGACTCTCAAAAGAGTATTAATTAACAAATATGGAAAAAAGATGAAATGTAGAATTTGGTCATCAAAATCAAAATAGGTTGCAACTTGCACTTCGTATCAAACATTTCCATTTCATTTCATTTACATCAAACAAAGTAGAGAACTAATTTACACCCAAATTGCAGGAGATTCAACTGAGCATCAATTTGGATTCAACGCCAATTTCTTTCCAGTCCGATTCAAAACCTAAGGAGACGAGAAAACGTCGAAATGTTGCAGCATCCGCCGCTCGGCCGACTCCGAGCCGCCGGCGACGAGAGCTTCGAAAGTCTTTTTCACTTTGTTTAAGCGCTTGTAGTGGCGGATGCGGCGCAGAACGACGTCTCTGTCGAAATTGCCGGCCGATTTCAACAGGAGCTGGCTCGACACCACGCCATTGTCTCTGCCGGAGGCCGAGGCCTCGTCCCCGTGGAGAATCGGCTTCTCAAACTCGGACTCTGGAGCTTTGGAAATCACGAAAGCCATTTTTTTGCGTCCGGAACTCGGAAGAGAGAGCGCCAGAAATCGCATATAAAAGCGAACCCGGTGGCTACTTTTCTGTGGGTTTCGGCCCTCCCCGGTTTCACAATTCAGTGGGTTATTATTCAATCAACGATAGGATTAAAAAAATATATATATACCTAAAAATATTAGAGATCGTTTCTTTTTATGTTAGATCTGCGTGAAAATTATCCGGATTTCAAGTTTGCTGACACGTATTTTGTTTGGGATGATCCGGTGTGCCGATTCAGCCATCGATAAATCATCCTTTTTAAATTGTACATTTTTCAGTCTTCAATTTCATGATTATCTTGAGAGAAAGTAAATTTTATTTATAAACTTTGGTTTCTTTTGGATTAATAGTGAAAATTGATAATGTTCTGAAAGTTAAAAATAATTGTGAACCACTTCCATTTGAGGGTTTCTTCTGGATTCAACGTTTGTTTAAATGGGAGATTCATTAGCATATGATTAACTTTTTAAGTTGTTGGACAGGAGAACCCCAAGAATGGATAATTCTTGAAACCACCCAAACATAACTGCAGGTCTTGTGCAAAAAGTAGCTCATAATTAAAATAATAATAATAATAACTTTTTTTTGAAGAAAATAATTAAATTAATTATTGAATCAAAGTTAGAATTAGTATTAACTCACTATCAATTATTCATTAACAACAATCAATAACTTAATCATGGTTAATTTTAGTCACTACCCATAATCAAAATTGTAATTTCTTTTTGTACATTCAATATTGTAACATTTTAATTATTTTAAAATTATGTTGAATTATGTACTACTCAAGTTTAATATATATATATATATATATATATAATAGTACAACATGGCGAGGCTATGCTCGTTTTGACAATTTACTATCTATAAAAATCTAAATTAAACATTCGGATAATCAATATATTAGATAATATTATTTATAATTAATGACTAATAGCCTTTTACATCCAATTAATTGGTCAAATGGACAAAATATGTAAAACGGAAAAAAAAATAGCTTTTCTTTCTAGACAATATTGAGCCTTCAATCAAAACCTACGACGAATCAGACAGTATGCTAAATATAAACAATACACACTAACACAGTAGTATTTTTTATCACTTGAAATAAACAGTGGGCATCTCCAGCCTTCCCGTCTTGGAATTAACAGTGGGCCCTACTTTTCATTCTTAGAATGCAACAATCTACCAATAATATTTCTCTCTATCGAGTCCATCTAAACATAACTTAGTAAATAAGACATCTACAAACCATTCCAAAAGTCGATGCTATGATTAGAACTCTAAGGTTTCTTCTATTGAAAGAGCACTTTCGAACTTATTGAATATTTCGAAAAGGAAAAAACTTCCTTCCTAAAAATTCAGGAGGAAGCTCCTTCTAAATTCCTGAATGGTCGAGTAACGTGTAGACAAGTGAACCATGTAGGACTTATGCAAAATTAAAAAAACACTTGTCTATATATTATTGGACCACCCAGGACTTGAATCTTCAAGAGGGAAGTTAAAATTACCTTTAGATATGCACCATTTTTTGAAAATAACCCTCCCCCAATATTTTATCATATGCAGCAGATAATCTTTTTTGCCCCTTCTACATGACAGTGACAAATATATATAATGCACAGATTTAGAAGAGGCAACAAAAACTATTCGTTTTTATTGTTGTCTAGGAGAGTCAACAGAAAGCCACTTACAATCCGTCGTATGATAGGATGAGGGATATTACGGCACAGCCGACCATCAATATATGCTAAAATACCAGACAGCATAAACTTGCCAATTCCCATACTCCAGATGAACTTACCACTTTGTTCCTTGCCAGGAACTAAAGCAAGCTCGGTCGTTTCAATATCAGAATTCGATTCTTTGTTCTGAGGAATCCTAACCACAATCTGTGAGACACCTTTTCTCAGCATACGGATTGCAAAACTTACAAAGAGGTGTTCGCAGAGCGTTCGCACCGTAGGCCCGATCTTCCATTCCTGGACGAAAGATGCAGAAAGCATTGGTCAGTAACTGGGTCGTGCACTATCTGAGCCCCATGTGCCAGAATTTTGATGAAAGATAAGAAATAGCATTGTAACTGCAATAAAATGTCGACTTTAGCATACACCTGAAGTTAAGAAGTGGGAACTAAAACGGATGTGATCCAGAGGAAAGAGATGACATCTATTGCTTTGTTATGCTGGTCTTTGTGCCATAGAATACTAAAAGGAGAGAACAGAACTTGTATTTCGTATGACCATCCTTATTTTCATTTTTCTTTTAATAAATAATGGGCATTTGAGCTAGTTTACATGCACGATGATTAATCCCACGGAAGAATGGTGTGACTCTATAACATTTGGAATTGTAAAAAGGATATACAATATCCTAAATAGATGCCTAACATAGTCTGAATATGAATTTACAGCTTACCCATCTGATCACTAGGCTAATGGTGATTACTATCGACTATTTATTGATTACCCAAGTCAGAAGATTTCTTAGATCAAATGTGCTAAGGTTGATCTTCTATTAGTGATATATCTGATTAAGCCTTGGACAATAAACTTTTTACATCTTTCACAAACTTTTCGTTGGTATAGTCTTGGAGTACTGGGTTCTATAAAATATTTCCATAAGATCTCTAAGAAAATGAATTAACAGATTAGCAATCTTACTCGAGAAGCAACCTCTTGTATGGTATGAGATAAATGAGTTAATTTTTCAATCTCTCATAATGCTCCCTGTTAATAGCTTTAATTTCCTTGGAGAGTTCCAATTTTTGTCCCTTAATCAATGTGGCACGAGAACAAAATATCCTTGAGAAACCGAGCTACCCCCAATTCCTACATTATCTTAGTGAGCCAAGGTCATTACTTCCAAATTCGAGCTAAGGAATTCTTTAACTTTTTGGTTGTCATTTTCCACCTCACTTAGGTGATGCTTAAAAAAAAACGTGATTTTATTTTCAGTGCTTAAAGAACAAAATTTAGTGCGCTTGGATTCTGAGATAAGGATATTCAAATTGATCCAAGATTCAAAAGGTAATAAATGGGAAGCAGGACCGGTACTGGTTGTTACAGTCTCTCCATTGACTTTGGACATTTGAGTCCATGCGAGGGGCAGTGAGTGTTAGCAGCTTATGGAATTGGTATAATATGGAGAGTTCAATTAAATTATTGATGTTTGTACTCTCACCTATTGCATATTTATGCATAACTACAGCAGTCCGCATGGAAATTAAGATTTCTAAACTACTATATATGGATAAGAAATATCATATAAAACAAAACATGAATGAGTCAATTAAAAAAAAATCAATTCCATGATCAATCCTCAAAGATTTTCTCTTCAAAATAACTCAGGATTTAGCTCAAACTATACCATGAAGGTTTAGTCATAGATTTGAACACAACTACCATTTTGAGAACAGAAAAACAAAGCTAGAAAACGTAATAAATAAGAAAGTGGACAGAGTGCTAAGCTTACACTTTCACGTCGAAGATGGTGAAAAGGGCGAGTAGCTGTTGCCGGATCTCCCTTTAACAATGCTTTGCTAACAAGAAACCTTTTCACATGTTCCACGATCTCATTTATCAGAGAAGTGTTTGGGGGAAGATTTTTAAGGATAACCTGAATGCATACATACTATTATTTTATCTCTGAGGCATAGTTAAAAGGGTTGTCGAATTGAAAGCATGTGCAGTCTGAAAAATCAACATAGAAATCAGGTCATAAGATATCTCCGTTTGGCATGATTTCATAATACTGCATCTAGACCATTTATGCACAATCAAGATTACCATGTATCAAAGAACCTATAGTCATGGGCAGAAATTTTCAAGTTTACATACATACATACACACATATATATATACAGAAAAAAGTTCTTGATCAGCTTCTTGTATACCTCTAAGACATACCTGATTGTCAATGACTCTAACTCTAAGATATTCTTGTTTGTACATTGTATCCAGCATAGCTTGCAGGTAGCCTTCAACATATAACTGCAGCAATCCAAAAAAGACATCACTATGCAACTATGGATTGCTGATATTGACTCTCTGGAATTAATAAGCCAAATTACCATAAAAGGATCCACAATTTGAGGCTAAACAAAGTTATCTTTATGCTTCTCCCAACATTGCACAGCGATGATGTTGGTGTAATGTAATATTTTAATTATACTATATTACTACTACATGTTACATGAAGTCTTCCCTTTCTTTTTTGTTTTATTTCTAGTAAAACTACTATACTTTATAAGAAGTTGGGTAGATGTTAATTATTACAATTAATTAAAAACATGAGCTAATTTATCGAACAATTGTAATGCTATCATAATCCATAAACATTACTTTAGTAATTTGTATAACTAATGGTACAAATCAATTTAGATACTTTTGAATCATTTATGTATTAATATATTATATCGCTAATATTGAGTTTAGCAGTATATATGTCAAAGCAAAATAACCTAAGCTAGCTCAACCCATCTGTGTAGCTCACTGATATGAACCTCTTTTTTTTTTCTTTTTTCTTTTATTAGAAAAAGAAACTCTTTCCTGCTTCTGCACTTTCGTCTGGTTGTTAGGAACACACCATATACCTTCAGTAAAGTTCGTCTCTGTTGGGTTAAAGTTTTTCCCTTCTTCATTCTTTAAGATTGTAAAACTCTCTGGCATCTTTATGACATACAGTGTGTTGAAAAATCAATTGAACAGTGACTCTTTGAACTTTCAACTCAATGTTGGTAACGGGGTATTAAGGCTAATCCCAAACCGTGAGAGCCAAAATGGAGGAAGGAGGATCAGTGTGATAGATTGTGATTGATAAGGGCGACAGAATGGAGCAGGCTATGAGGTTAACCATCCGATGGTGAGAGCATCATTAAAGACAAGATGAAGACAACTAGGGAAGAAGAGATGACCTTGGACCTAACATTCATGAGCCCAAGAGGTGCTGGGATCAAAACTTGGTTGGTTGGTCGTAGTTTGCAATGAGTAATGATGTCAATTCTAAGAAAAGAAAAAATAAAGAATCTGTGTTAGAGTATATTAGTATATTTTATATTCTTGTATTAATATTAATTTGTCTTTTGTTCTTTACCTTCTCCTTCTAGGATTAGGTAACCTTGTATATTTGTCTATATATAGACTTTAGTAATGAGAATGAGTAGAATCTGGTTCTCTCAAACTTTAGTTTCTACATGGTATTAGAGCTCTAGGTTTCTTGCCCATTAGGGTTTTGTGCCCATTAGGGTTTTGGTGCGCATTGGGGTTTTGTCCCTTTTTGTTCATTGCTATCCAACTCAACTCACTACTACCGCCGCCGCTGCCAACCACCGCCGTTTGCTGATTCGCCAGCACTGTTGTTTTCTGATTGCTGTTCGTGGGTTTCGTCTCGCCGCCAATCGCCGTCGCCATCGCCGTGTGCTTTCGTCATTGCAAGTCGCCAACCGTCGCCTTCGCCCCTCTGGTTGTCGTGGGGTAGCACTTGGGGTTTCTGGGTTCAGAAAACACTTAATCCGATTTGATTCCAGCAATTTGATTAATTTGTTTTGTTTGGTTCGGGTGGTTTGATCTGGTTCTGTCGTTTTGTTCAAATAAGTTTGTTTGTTTGTTATGACTGAGAAGAAATCAATCGTAACTTCTGAGTTGATCCCAATGATATAGAACACAAGTTGAATGAAGCACGAATAGATTATTTGTCTAACAAGTTAGGCATGATTAACATATATGCACCAACTTGAGGGGGAGTGTTAGAGTATATATTAGTATATTTTATATTCTTGTATTAATATTAATTTGTCCTTTGTCCTTTACCTTCTCCTTCTAGGATTAGGTCAACCTTGTATATTTGTCTATATATAGACTTCAGTAATGAGAATGAGTAGAATCTGGTTCTCTCAAACCTTAGTTTATATAGTCTGCAACTCATGGTGGGTAAGGCACAATTGGAATTGAACCCGACGCATTGTAGAAAGTAGCAAATCAACAATGACAGGCTTGGAAGTCTAACGGGTAGGAGCGCAAACTGACCGGAGTTTAATTGTGGGATTTGGAGTCTTTTTGCGACATCAACATAATAAAAGTTTGAAAAGAAAATCTAGAGCATTTACTTCTTCCCTTGAGGTTGGAAGTTGAAATCTCCATATCCGGATTTTTGTTGTACTTAAAAAAATCTAGGTCAAGTATCCTTCATATGTCCTCTCGTGGACGATCCTATTTGGCAACCTGAATAGTACGGATATACTTTAGAAAAGGTTTCGTTCCTTGCTCTCCAGTCCTCAATCTATGTTCTTTGTTCAGCAAACAGCGAATGTCAAGTTCATTTACTCTTCCTTTGTCCCTTTGCGGCCAAGCGTTGGGAAAGACTATTCTGCCTCTTCAATTTATGTTGGGTTTTTTCAAACTCAGCGTCAGGGAACTTGAAACAACTTCTTTATGGGCCATTTCTTCTCCCAAAAGCTCATCTTCTTTCGACCAATACAGTCAAAGCATTGCTCTCGGAATTTTGGTTCATAAGAAACCAACGGCTTTTCAAAGACAAAAAAGGAGATTGGTTCGAATGTTTTGATCTAGCTAAGTACAAGGCATCTCTTTGGTGCTTGATCCAACCTCTATTTAAAGATTATTCATCTGAAGCTATTTTTATATCTGGGGATGCTTTCCCTTTGCATTAATTTGTATTTTATTTCCTTTATTTCTTTTCACTTGCATCCCATGAGAGTTTGTAATCTTTAAACTTTTTCTGGTATCTTTTCATATATCAACGAACTCCTTTATTTCTTTTCACTTTCATCCCAGGAGAGTTTGTATCTTTGAACTTTTTCTGATATCTTTTCATATATCAATGTAAAGTTTGTATCTTGTTCACAAAAAAAAAAATATATATATATAACTAATTAAAAAAAATCCCATAAACTATTTGTTACTGTATAAAACGAAAATAAAATGATGATGGAGACTAAATGAACCTGTTTTGCAAAACTTAGGGCTAGGGGATAAAATATAAATCATAACTTTTGAAAACTCCAAGTTCAAAATAGACACAAAATAAATATCTAGAGGCTAATAGTGTAATTTAACTAATAATTAACCACAGAACTATATATCATATGTGCATAGTGAAAATTAAAAAAGACATGTATAGCTGTAGGTATCATACAGATTATGCAATTGAAGGGAAATTAATCCAAAAAACATCTTTCGAAATACATTCTTCAATATATAAAAGAACTGTATCACAGCTGTGTAATTTCATGAGATAATACTTGCACATTCAACTAGAAGTTGTCTATAGTGATCACAAGCTGACGGATACTACATTTACCAGTATACCACACACATTACCTCATCAACCCCTGGGCTTCGATCAAGTTTGATCTTTCTATCTGGGCCACCTTCCATCAAGACACTCCCAAGTAAAGATGGATCCATGGCTATCTTTAGTATTCCTTGGTGAAATCCACTCACCTTCGAAATTGCAGGGACAACAAAATCTTAGTTTCTAATGTTTAATTTCAGGTCAGGAGGCAAATAGCTAGAAAGAAGAAAATGCATAACATATGGACTTGAATAATGAGGTTATCTACCATTCCATTAAAACCACTTGCTTCTGCTCCCTTTAGAACAGAGTCTGAAATCTCAGTTATAGCAGCAAAGATAACATTCGACCCAGCTGTCTTCAACTGTAAATCAGTTTTAAGCCAATTAGACTTTATCAATACCATGACAACATCAACATGTATGCAAAAAAAAAATCAGACTTACAGTTTTCCCTAAATCTCCAAAATAGCGTTTGGTACCTGACACCCTTTTCACATCAATACATTTCTTGATAAACTTGAAAGTCCCTGCTCTCAATAGCCAAGCAGCAATTGAACATTAACAAAACATAGACCTTTAAAAAATTGATAGAATCATCTTTGATCATGAATGCAATTGTCTTTTTTTTTTTAACAACAATTGTCAATTGTAAATAATTGAAAAAATAGGTTCAATTTGAAATCTGCAATCAATTATTTGCTTTGTTTAAGCTAAAAAAAATTCATTGGCAAGAAAAGACAAGGTAAATGATTAGACAAAGAAGTTAAGGGAAAAAGTACCTGGAAGACCCATAAACCCACGTGAGGGATCGAAGAAGACATCTAATGAAGATGAAGATAAGTCATCAAAGATGGAAATAAAATCTGGAGGGAGCAATGAACTTCCCTTTGCAATATAGACAGCCCTCATGGCATACCTGGATCATTATAATGTGATTTCAATCTATGCAGCATGTAAAAAATATAACATAACAAAATGAAAACACAAGGTCTGCTTACCATGAATAATGTTGAGCACATCTAAGAAATAGTTCACGCATTGTGATCAAAGCATGAGTAACTAGAACACCATTGAGCTCAACAGCCACATTCTTCATGGGAGGGATCTACAAAGTACAAGAAAAAGGCAAAAATCAACGGACGCGTGCATGTGAAAGTAGAAAGTGTTACAGATGTTTAAGTGAGCAAGAGAAATCAAGTGCACAGGACTGTTCAAATCACACACCTTTACTACACTATGTAGTAAGGTCCTCAGAGTCTCCTGCGTTGAACTGTAACTTGAATATGATTCCTCAGGAAGGAAATTTGCAATAATCTAAAACAATAAATAAATCCAATTATAATCTGCCTCCAGTTAAATATCAAGATTGGGCAAGCTAGAGTGAACATAAAGCCAGACCTTTATTGGGTGGATCTCAAAATGGTCAAAATAGTACTGCTGGCTCCTAGTTTTTGAGTCACTAAGAGATGTTCTCCAAAATGGAGCAATCCTCATTAAGGTCTCCTCATCAAGGTTCAAATCAATTGGCTGTGAATATAGGCTAACAAAATCTAAGTGGTGTAGTTAAGTAATGAAGAAAGTTATGTTAAGACTAAATTAAATAATTAAGTTAATATTAATATGGTAATATAAATGTTTAAAATTTGTAGCAAGTGAAACATGATATTAGAGTATATGGTTTTAAATTCAGATTATTGTAATTCTATGTCTTCCTTTAATATAAATCATTCATCTGTTGAACTCAAAAAGTTAGTAACATTTATGAGACATTTGAGGGTTGTGTAAAAAATAAATTAAATAAGCAGTTTTACCTCAGCAGCTTCAAAAGGTTAGTAGTAATTTAATGAGTTTTATTGCGTAGCTAAATTATTTATATGAAATGACATTTTCAATTTGGTCCATGAAGCAAACAATCCGTTAAGCATATAAGGTCTACCAAACGGCCTGTGGTGTATGGCCAATGCTATTGTTATAATAATGCTTGATATTACCTGCAGAACAACAGATAAGTATTTGACTTGCTTGACATGAATGCTGGTTGAGTTCAGGATGCACACAACTTTGAGAACACAATCATTTGAGTCACTGTAATCCACTTGATGTCTACGAACCATTGCAGCAAAAACAGCTCCTACTCTCTTTTCCTCCAATCTCAATGACTGCACCAATTACTAATGAATTAGCACTCGACCGTTACAAAGTATAAGAATAAATAGTTGGTTATTGGAAGGACTTGGCAACTACCAGCATAACATCAGGGTAACGGTAAGCAATACCTGAATAGTAATCTGGTTATATTTCTGCTGCTCTGTAAACACAGAATACAATTTAATGTCCCCGAGTCTAGCAGCTACAAGTGGCATATAAGCTAACGGCTCGCTCCCATTTTCATCCTTAAATTATAATTAGAAATAATCAAGTTAAAAGGTTGAAGACATTGATATTCTAATAACAATACAATTAATTTAAAATTTGTTGGCCGATCTAATCAACAAATCAATTCTCGGCAACCATTCTCTTAACCCAAAATGACCTGTAAAAGGCACAATCCAAGAAATTGTGTAGAATAATTTTATACTCACAGTTTCGTACATAATGAGGGACTAGGAAAACAAAGCAAAACAAATTCTGAGACATGAGTGACTATTACTATGAATCACATGGATGAACTGTAATATTCAAAATACTCAATTGGATAGGAAGGTTTGATATCATATTGCAAATCTACATATTAGAGGTAAACAATGCGTGGGGAATTTCAGAAAAAAAAAGAGGGGGGTGGTGTGGGAAAATTCAGGTCCAGGCCTAATTTAGCACCATTTTCTGATAAACCGTGGAAAGATTCAGGCAGTAAATCCTCCTTATCCTTCCATTTTCTTTTTTTTTTATATAAAAAAAATGAAAAAGAACCGAACTTTACATGTATAGATAAAAAGATAGAAAAATGCTCAAGGATACAAAACTCCAAAGTGCATAAAACCAAACAAAAGTAAAGAAAAAATCTCCTAAGTAGACAACAGATAAAAATAAAACTAAGAACAGAATGCCTTAGATCTCAACAAGCAAACAAGCCAGAGCAAACAAAACCACCCCATAAAACTGCAAAAACAGCAGCAAGCTACTGCCCAAAAGAAATGAACACCTAGAACCTTTGATGAAAGCAAAAAATCAAAAAGAATGCCCAGTTTTGGTATGCAAGATCAGTCTTGTCGAAAGAAATAACCAACTAAAAAGCTTACTTGGCACAACAAAAGGCTGAAAAGTCAAGGTCTCCAACCCCTAACCCCGACCTCCTTATCCTTCCATTCATCCGGATGATTACATTCTTTATTTTTTTAGTTGTACATAATTTATTTATTTTTCTGATTTCTTATTGCTTTAATTATATGGTTTCTTTCTAAGATTTAATCCATAAACAAAGTTAAGGAACCAATCTTCTGCGAATACGGGAGAATCGGTTTCTCCGACATGACATCAAAGCCGGAGGAAAGGAAATATTCTCAATTACAGCAGTCACTGCTAACTGACTGAAACTCCATCACCAATGAGGCCAAACTGCCACCACCTTCAGCTCCTTGCTGTTTCATTTCTTCTTTTCCTTTCTTCTCTTATTAATTTATTTAAAAATCTTAAGTTTCCTATAAAATATATATATATATATATATATATTATATAATTTATTTAAATTTTTATATCACATTTGGTTTTGAGGACCAAAAGTAGCTCCCTTGTTCGTAATGATTTGCCACATCTTGCCAATCATCACTTATTAATTCAATATGTATGCCATTTCAATACTTAAGTAATAGTGTTAACGGTAAAGTTGGTGTAAACCAAATGAGAGAGAATTGTATTAATGGAGATGAAGCCTCATCATGGCCCCTTTTATAGAAGAGGGCTACTAACATTTAACAAAAATAGTCTTAGGCATGGTTAACAGCTAACCAACTAACTTAAGCCTTTAACTAATAAACTGATAAAACCAACGCGCTGTTACATCACATTCTCTATACTCAATAAAATGTAATCAATTTTGTTAATTTTTGAAACTGTAAAAATAATTCACTTTTGAAATAAAATATATTATTGTTGGTTAAATTGACTTTATCTTAGGTAAAAGAAATAAAACAGGATATGAATATGTGGTAAATTTCTAAATAATTAATGTCATTACCAATTTTCAATTATAATAAATTTCATTAACACTTTTAATCCTTCCCCTTCTTGGTCTAATTTCGAATGGAACATCTTTTAGGATTGTTACAACTATTCAATCAAATGATATTGCGCATGTTTTCAATCTCTTCTCGAGAAACAAGTAGACTATTTCTTTGCAAAATTGTGCTAAAAAAGAATCAATAGAAAAAGAAAGAATCGGAATTGATCAATATATTTCTCGAAACAAACCAAAAATTAAAAAATAAAACATTTGATAGTTTTATTTGAAGGAAACCAAAATAATAAATTAAAAAATAATTACAATAAATGAATTGAAAAAGGAAAGGAAGAGGGCAGAATGGAAAGAGAGAGTTTCTCCTCTATATATTGCATAGACAAAGAAGTTTCAAGTTCAAAATTCAGAGTCATAGTTCTAATTAGATAAAAATGCACAACAAATAAGGAAGATATTATTCTATAGAAGCAAGGCACAATACCACCCACTTAACAAAATTGGAGTTTTAACATATTTGAACTTGATAAATCAATGAAAACTTGAGAAGGGATGGGTCAGGGAGAGAACATGCAAGACTGACCTGCCTCCAACATTCAAGTAAGTGAACTGTGATATCAGAAATTATGAGTTGAATTTTTTCAGATGTTTGAATCACCGAATCTCCTTTGTGACAATCAGCTTTCTCACAAATCCGTAAAACCCTGGTTGGACCATCCGCATATATTTCATAGCCAACCCTCACAATCTCCCGGCCATGAAAGTCGTCCGATATTGTTTTTCTGTCTCCCACGTTTCTTTCCCAAAGAAAGTGACGTGCCAAGCCTCCTTGTTGCCTAGACTTATACAAAGGCTTCCATGCACGCAACTTATCCAAGTTAATTTCACGTACAAGGCTCTCTATCAGCAATTTCAACAACAAAGAGTCAATCTAAAAAACTTGTCTTCGAAAAACATTCCTTAGCTATAGAGAATAATATGAATTTTGAAATTCAGACCTGTGCAACCCAATGTCAAAATCAAATAATTTTTAAACAGAGCTCCTTCCATAATCATCAACATCTAACAAGTTGGAAACAGAGTATCGCACTTTCATGGTAGAAGAAGATATAAAATGGTATAGGGCAACAAATTTCTATATATAACTGCATCCCCATCCCAAGACCAATTACATACGATGCCAAACCATTGACATGCTTTGCGAAGCTAAAACGGTGAATCTTTATTTCATCTGATGGATCAATAATCACTAAGATTGTTAAAATTAGAAAAAACCACAATCCAGCAAACCCACGATCATTTTCCAAGGTCATGATTGTTCACTTATGTCACCTACGTGGTTTACCTAGTGGCAAAAAAGGAAAAGAAAAGTCTGACAAGAAAAAAGAGCTATACAAGATGAAAGGATATAGACCTTGAAAGAAACAATTCATAAGTACCGTTAATTAGGACATTGATTAGACTAACCTTGCTCTACGAGATGAAAGGATACTTGATAAAGGACAAGCATTGCACTTCCTAGATGGTTTGAAGGAGAATCTTAATCAAGTGTTAATTCTTAATATTGAAATTAGTCAAGTTCCATATCTTTGATAATTAAGGTAGTGCATCTATGAAATTGTACAAAAAGTAGAAAGTCAAATTACAATGACAATGGGAAAATCCAAGGTTGGTGAGGAAGGCACAAGCGCAGAAGTCTAAATTTGAGGATGGTCAAACTTAATGCAGGGTCACCAAGTAATAAGATAAAAATGAAAAAAGAGAGATTAGAGGAAAACTATGGTCTAAGTTTTGTAAAAAATCTCAGAGTCAACTCTTCGTTCATCAGATCAAAGGTTGTTATATATAATTTTCCATCAAACATTAATCAAATGACATTCCCAAACTCAAGTCATACTTCAAAACCTTTACATAAAATATTGGGATGCCTCAAATATATCTTCAGTCTAAATAATTCTACAAAGTTCAAATAAAATTAAAGATTTAAGTGCTTAAAAGTGAGTTGCTTAGTAGAGACAAATATGTAAATTTTGTTTTCCGATTCTCAATTAACCTAACTAGCAAGTCATTAGAAATACACGGAAAGCAGGGAATTTTTCTTTTAAAACCCTTATTATTTCATACATAGCATTAATAGCAATCAGCAACCTAGTCAATATCACCAAGGTAAAAATATAAAAGAGAAGAAAGATGTAGACCTTGAAAGAAATAATTCATAAGTACCATTAATTAGGACTACTAGCTCATGTGGAAGAGTCAGGTCATCCCAGACATAATCAACGCTACATTGAGATCCTAGAACCTCTGGTTCCAAAACATCCTGTAAAATTATCGTGTGATTAATAGAAAAGAATACTAACATACATATCCTAGTTCACATCATTGACTAATTGATAAGAGAGGAAAATGGAAGAACAGCACAACCTTCTGATAGTATGTTACAGAAAAATTGTGCAAACAATTCTCAATCCTGTATGGAAGATTGGTATTTGGTGGTTTATGGAAATGTAAACTTAATGTTGAACCTTCTTCCACCACATGAACTGCAGCAAATTCAATTATACTTGTGCCTTTTGAAGTCCCTTGGTCTGGCTGCCTTTTGAATTTCAGGTAAAATCGTCCCAATGAAGCAACGCATATTGGGCCGGACCAACTCAAATCAGACTCACTTAGGCAGAACTGAATAAATTTTAAAGAATCGTCCATAGATTTTGTGTGCTTCTTCACAAAATTTTCAAATACACTGGACTCTCTAGGCTGCTGGATTCCATCCTGCAGCTTTAGTGTTGCTTTCTGTTTACTGTTGACTTCGATTGTGCCTCCATCATTCTTCATATAGGAGTAAAAAGAGCAGCCAAGAAGAAAAAAAGGTTCAAAACACATCTAAAAAAACAGTGACTAAAGTGCTAAAAAAAAGTAGCTCAAAATTGAAGAATGAATTACATACCTGCAAATAACACTGACGGACAATAATATCTTCTTTTGATTCATTAATCACAACATACCGTGGGACTATGGTAACTAGTTGGGACGGCAAAACCATATTTCCTAACGGTGATCCCAAAGAAACACCAAGTTTGATGCTAAATACCATGTCATCTCCTTGCATTTGCAAGCTTAGTTCTGTGAAGCCAGATAGAGCGTCCAAGTCAAGTAGTGCTTCTTCAGATGTGTAATTTTCTAACACCTGTACAAACACCTTTTTGGACCTGTAAGAAGTTACGTTGATGTCATTAAATAAATTGGAAATTCAGAAGATTAAATGTAGTTAATGTGAGACAAGGAAACAGAAAGAAAATAATTAGAAAAAATCCATTTTACTTCTGAGTGTTGATCTATCTTACTTTAAGAGCCATGAACAAGTGGAGTTTGGAGCCAAACATATTCCTAAATTTGGGAATAAACCATTCTCCTCTACATCCCTGCATATAGCCATGGCTTTCATTTGTTATAGATTATGCCAAAGATATGCATAGGCCATAAAACAATGCACGTAAGCATTCATGAATCATTCTTAGATGCCCCTACCTGTAAAGGGTCTTCTTATTTGAAGCAAGAAAACGCAGCATAAAATTTGTGTCGTTCTTCAGGGCATACGGTGCAAAAACAGATACCTGCAATTCAATATACATTAGGTTGCCTGAAGATTAAAATGCATTAGATTTCCTATAAGGCATTATTATTTTAATAGCTTCTTAGTTGGAGCTGCTGCAAAACTTCAACCGAACCACTGTAAATAAATAACTAGTAGTGAAATGTGTATTTTGTTCTTTCAAGACAAAGTAAAATGTGACGTTAACATAACCTCTAATGTGCCTCTATGGCCACGAGCCAATCTTAAGGAAGCAAAGTACTTTCCACCTCCAAAATCAAGATCAATGTCTACCGACTGAACACTGCTTTTCTGCTTCAGTAACTTTTTGACAAAATCACCACTACTCACTGATTTGCAGGTTGAATTTAACGCAGTTAATGTAACAGTAAAAAAAATTATGGCAGGGTTCACATAGAAATCAGCTGTTGAGTCAGATGATATAGTTGCCCTGGTTCCAATATGCGAATCCTCATTTATGGTACTAGTATCTGCTATAAAAAGAAATGACAAGTTAGATCATTTTAAACTATCCAAATGGCAAAACAATTTCAACTTTACCTGTCTCACTTAAAAGCACATGTATCTCCGAATACAATAAATTGGACACTCGAACGGTAGGTAGAAGAAAAATTTGTTTTTGCTCTTGTAACACATCAGATGAATGGCTATTATCAAACCTATTCCCAGATTCATCAGGCTGCAAAATATGCACATCCCTACCAACGCACTGAATCAGAAAGTGCAAGTTGTTAACATGTCCACCATCAACTAACAGCTTACAACTTGATGTGCTAAAGGAGTACTTCTCCGATCCAACCATTAAAGCCTTTCTGACTTTGTAGCTTAACTTATCAAAAATTCCAGACAAATGCACTGCCTTTTCACCTTTAAAATCATCTGACCACTCAACTGACTTTGAATTCATCGAGTTATCAGTCAACTTTGGTCTAAAAGAAAGAAGGAAGTTTCCTGCAAGGTTTCAACTCAACAATTTCAGAAAAAGATAACCTGAAGAGAAAATATAGACGAATGCAGTGTAATACTGTTAACTAAAACCTTTGGAAAAAATTTACGGTTCTAGCAATTAGTACAGGGTTTACATACATAAGGCTGGACTTCTACTCCATCATAGATGTTTTTATCTTCTATTTAAATGGTGGGTAAAACCAAGGAAGAATATTCTTTTACTCATGTTATTAAATACTTACAATCAGCGAATACAAAATATATAGGTACGAATATTAAGGCTCTAAGGACTCTAGTTCATCATCTCTCACACAGTGATTGGGAGGAAATAGAACAAATCCAACAAGGATATTTCCTATTTAGAACTGTCAAAATTATGCTGCAGTTTCGATGGCTGTGCCTGGTTTTCTAAACCCAAAAAATATCACTAGTTAAAAAAACTATATGGAGTCCCTTATTCTGGTAGTTTTTATCCAAGTCAGCAAACTTGGAGGACAAATAATAACATGAGCTGTTTAAGGGGATCGTATGATAACTCTTCTTAATTATATAGTAATCTATAACTAGGAGTTCTGTAATTATCTGGCTATACCCTTGGAAGAATAGCATTGATTAACATATTCAGTATAAAAATGTACACAAAATTTTCACCCCCCCTAAGGTGCTTGCTTAAAGACATTGATCGTGTGTAGGTAGGTTACCATTACTCTCAAATAACTGTTCAGGACGATTCTTAGGTAGCTGTTCAAAAATATTTACAAAATGTTTTGACTTCCCCTTAAAAGTGTGCTTGAAGATGTCTATCATCGAAGGTCTTAAGAATGAATAAACCACCACTCAACCAAAAAGCTTAAGCTGATGGGTTGGGTAAATTTAATTCATTTATGGATATCTCAACACTCCCCTTCACTTGTGGGCTTGGAAAATTACATCAAGACCCAACAAGTGGAAATCATAATAAACGGGGAGGAAATGACAAAGCAGGAGTTCGAACACAGGACCTCCCGCTCTGATACCATCTTAAGAATGAATAAACCACAACTCAACCCAAAAGCTTAAGCTGATGGATTGGGTAAATTTAATTCATTTATGAATATCTCAACAGTTACCAACATTAGAAATTTGTCAAATGATTTTCTAGGAAGATTTATAGTTATAATGTCAGTATAGAGATGTGAGACATGCAGTTCACTCCTCTCTCTAGTTTCAGTAGAGAAAGTGAAATTTGATTCTAACATGCTTAAGTATTTTTTTGAACAAGAAACGAACTTTACATTGATAAATGAAAAGGAACAAAAAATTGTTCATTTGGGGTGAAATGAAGAGGATGAAGAAGGGAAAAAAAAAAGATACAAACAAACCAAACTAAATAAATGAAGCTTAAACATTACACAAAAAAGCCTCCCAATTAGAACAAATCATGCTATGAGAATAATTTGCAAAGAGATTGGAGAGAGCACACCATTGTGAGGCTTTGAACTTAGCTATACTGTATTATAACATGCTTAAGTATCATTAAGCACACTTTTAAGGGGAGTGAGAACATTTTATAAGTACTTTAACAGTTTCCTAAGGATCTTCTTAGACAGTTATTTAAGAAGATTAGTGTTAACCTACGCATGATGGATATCTTTAAGCATGCACCTTAGGAGGAGTGAAAATTTTTTTGAGCATTTATTTAACTGTAATATGTTAGCCATGTTGACAGAGACACTGTTTGAGAGGAATCAGAGGATATTTGAAGGCAAGAGTAAAGTTTGGATTGAGCACTTTGAGTGCTTTGATTTAGCTAAGTTCAAGGGCACTCAATGGTGTTCAATATCTAAATTATTCAAGCATTATTCATCTTGTCTTATTTGTCAAATTGAGATCATTTTATTTAGTCCCTATATATTATCTGTATTATTATTATTTTTCCTTTTTTACCTCGAAGGAGTTTTCATCCTTGAACAATTTTGATCCATGAAAAGTTCGTATCTTGTTTAAAATAATATGTTAGCCAATGATGACTGCTGTATTTTTGTTGTATGAGACTCCTAGTGTATATGAAGTCTACATAACCAATAACGAAGAGCATGAGCACATATGGACAATATTATTTCACTTAACTGGTATTTAATACTTTGTGAACTCGAAGATCTTAAAATATTTTAATGTAATTTCATCAGCATAAAATTCCGTTCCCCTATTTCACAAAGAAAAAACTGGCCATGTTTAGATTAGGGATACCATGTACCAACACTTAGAGACATTAGTGCCTTTCTCAATCCACCGGAAGAATTTAAAGCATCAAACATTCCCATGGAATCATCAATCACATCTTTAGGTTCTACCAACACAGAAGCACATTCATCTTCTTTTGGCTGATTTCGTCGAAATCGGAGTTCCATGGTTAGTCCACTTTCATTATGTATTCTCGTCATAGGGGAAACCACAATTGACAAACCATCCTGCAAAGCGGAGAAAAAGTGAAATAAGTGCAATCATCTTCAAGGATAACCCCATCAAAACAATTTGTTCACAAAGTGATGAATTACCTCAGGATGCCGAGAAATTTCAACCACAATAAGAGGACCTGGATAAGTTCTTGAATCTACGGAAGAAATAGAGTGTATATGAATATCATCAGCGGCATTCCCAAAAGATTTGCCTCCATTAGCAACAAATTGAGGAAAGAAAAATTCAAAATCCAAAATCCAACAGAGTCTACAAAATCATATACTTTTTTTTTTCTCATTTATATTGTGGAGTAAATGGTACCATTTCCAGTTCACCCTCATTTATAGCCTATCAATTCTTTTTAATAATGTTTCTTTCACCTATTAAGGGGTATGTGTCTGAAGGGTGTCTTGGCACATCAATAGAGCTCGTGCTTGGAAAGGGAGACACTCATTACTAGAGGATTTTTCTGGGGCTTGGTAACAAGGAGATTTCTCCTCGTTAAACAATTAGTAGTGTACCTTGTGCTTTTCTCGTGCTTAGTCTGTCTAATAGTGCATCCTTTGTATTTGGAAACTGTTGATTTAAGGTAAGAAAACTCGATCAGTGGATGTTGCATCCTTTATGCTTTAACACAATTGTTCTCACTTTCTTGCTTCCTTTGATCTCGGTTTGAATTTGAATTTTTAATAATTCTCTTCTGATTGGATTCCAATCATTAAACTTGTTGTGTCTTGTTCTTTCTGGGTTCTTGCTTATTTCAAGATCTCGTGACAAAGATGTTTATTGATAGAAGATTCCTTAGGCTCTACCCTTTTGACTCTCTTTTTTTTAAGCAAGAAACAACTTTTCTTTCATATATGTAAAGGAGAAAAAGTTCAAAGATACAAACTCCAGAAGGAGTGAGAGAAAAAGATACAAACTCCCGAAGGAGTGAGAGAAAAAGAAAAAAGAACAAAATAGAAAAGAGGCTCCACAAGAAGCAATACAATAGTAAAAGCCAACAAAAAGATCATGGTAACTACTATCAAAATGATCCACCAAGATGCGGAGACACAAAAAAGATAACTTTAGAATCTTTAACTTCGGGCACTCCATCAGCTCCATCTTTATCGTCTGGAAAGAGGACTTTGAGTTCCTAAGAAAATTTGGCTCGAATTTCAGCGTTGTCTCTATCCCGAGCAACTTGTATCTCCAATTTTTTCCTAGCAAACTCAGCATGAGCACATAACACGTTCTTTGCAAACCTTGACTAGCACGGAGTTCAGAAAGACTAAATATGCATCCAATTTCAAAGGAGAAAGACTAGAGATGTATTTGAGTGTAGAAACTATGAATTCTTTAGATACATCCAGAGGAGTATCCATGCTGCCAAAGAACACCTCTCAAACCTCTAAGATCCCTTGCTATAAATAAGAAAAGCAGAGGCAAAGAATGACCGTTCAACTTCTTAGGCCAACAAAAAGAAGAGGGAGAGAGGTTTCTTGGGAATCCGAACCAACAAACCAATGAAAATCCTGAATTAATGATGAAATACCAAATACCAAAGCATGTTCCGTAGTGATCCCCATTTGGAGATTGTCAATCGGGTTATCCGTCTCTTTTAATGTAAAGAAACTTTATTTTTAGTTTTATAGTTTGACTTCTATAGAATATGAAACATGTAAGTGTACTAAGTTTCATCTTCTAAGATTGAGTCTTAGGTCAAAAATCAAATTGGGGTCCCTTTTGAGGGTTAGTTCATTAGAATATTTGGGTCCATGTTTGTTGAGTCCAAAGGATAATTTATATATTTTGTTACACTTGTTGATTATTATCATACGACCTGATTATACATGATGGCAGTTCATTATGAGTTTCTTTCTAATGATACTTCGGATTCAATCTGACATAAATGACTACTTGTAATTAAAGTTAGTCATCAAGGTCAGATGTGTTAGCTATCAATGAAAAGTTTGTTTCTTGTTAAAAAAAAAAAGATGTGCTAGTTAAAGATAGTTATAGCGTTCCAGCCTCAAGACTTCAAAGCTACATATAAAATCTTGAGATATTTAAAAGCACTATCTGAAAAGTTTATATTTGATGATATAGACTAAACAAGAGGTGCTATTAATAGAAGATCAACCTATAGATACTGTTGTTTTGTTGGAAGGAATTTAGTTACTTGGTGAAGTAAAATAAAAAATGTGATAGACTAGGAATAGTATTGATGTAGAGTATAAAGCTTCAGCTCATAGAATTTGTGAGGGTACATGGATCAAAATGATACTTGAAGAATTGAGGTTTTCTCAACTCAGACGGTTCTTATTCGAATTTACTACAATAATAAGTTTGTTATCTCTATGGTTCACGGTCTAGATCTACATTATACAATAGAATATATGGTCTAGATCTACATTATATAACAGAACATATTAAGGTTGGCAAACATTTCATAAGCATTTCATAAAGCCAACCTTTCATAAGCATTTCATAAAGGAGATTGATGCAGGTGTAAAATGCATTCTTTATCTTTTGACAACAAAGCAAACTGTTAATGTTCTAACTAAGGAATTTCCAAAGAAAGGCATTTTGATAAACTAATTGACAAGTTGGCTATCCACATTTTAAAACCAGCTTGAGGGAGAGTATTGGTATGCATAATAATTGTATACTAGTTGTAAATATTAGTTGTCAATATTTTGTAACTATGGTACCTTTGTTTGCATTATTTTTTTATTTGTATTGGTTTTTTCTTATAAGAAGACCTTGCGCAAGTAATATTTTATTTCTCCAAAAACACTATAATAAGCAAACAAGTCAATCACCAGTAACCACAAAAGAAAATTGAGGATACCTTTCGCAGATATTATACGTGTTCTCTGAGTAAATGTTTGTGGTTGTAACTGGGAAATGTTGATAGGAGTTGTAAAATTTTCAGTTTCACTAAGTTGAATTGAAATAACTGATCCGCTCGCAAGAGTTTGGTCTGGTGATCCTGGGTGCCTTATAAACATGAAATACCCCCGAGATAAATTAATCTCAAACAATAATGAACAAACAAAACATTTATTTATCTACATGGATTATTACAAGGAAAACAGATTCCTTAAGAGACTGATAGCCGACAACTTCAACCATATATTGCACTGCTATCAGTCAAATACATTACTTGCTTTCTGTGCACCAACATATGCACATCTATTTGCGTAATGTAATTATAGGATCTTCTCGTTTTTTCTTATTTTAATTGCCGGAGGTAGCTAATTGTTATCACCATAGTTACTGCAGTTATTTGATATTAACACAAAAGGAATGCTGTAGTTACTATTTGGTTACTGCCACTGCTACCAAAAGCTTTTTTAAGTGCACTGGGTTGCTTTTAATCTTCTGATTTGATTAAATAAAACTCTCTCCAAGATCCTTTTCCTTTCCACAGACATTGAGCCTTGGGTTTCTGGTAATCTTTCACTATCTTCTTAAAACCTTCCCTCATGTTTGGACTTGAGTATAATACAAGGCTCGACACGTGAACTATTAATATGAAAAGAAGAGGATACAACAATTTGAATCCATGACTTTATGTTGTGATTCCACGACAAATCATCCATTAGATCCAAAATTTTAAACTGATAGGTTAGAAAAAAAATAGTTCTCTTCACGTGCAAGGATATAAGAGCTAAGAAGTAAATACAAACAGATTAAAATACCTCAGAGAGATGAAAGCAGACTGAAATCTTCTTATTGTCAGACTCTGCTTGTTGTGGAAGTGACAGAGAAGGTCGATGCCTAACTGGTTCTCCACCTGCCATGTAAAATAAGATCAGGACATATGAGAAAACTTATCATTCATTAGTCAGAAAAGAGAATATAGGCTAGTCTATTCTTTGTATTACTTCATGTGCTTCCTAAATTGCATAGATTTGCACCTAATTATACTTTTTTGATTCTTTTTGGGAGAACATTTATACTTCTTCTTCCTTATGGTGTTTAAACCATAAGAATTTCTTTAGTAATTATAGCATAGCTATGCTCCGACAAGATTGGAAAGTTGTATTAGTCTAACTTTAGGGGGGGCCTTCTCATCCCCTGCCCTTAGTTTGTCCTTTTTGTGATTAATACAAGTTCTCCCTGTTTCTTATCAGAAAAAAAAAATGCCAAGTTTTCATAGTCCTTTCTACCTCAAAAAATTTACCAAGTTCCCCTATTAATTGAATTTATTATCTACTTTAGTTTTCATCATCCTATTGTAGGTAAAGATGTGTATTAACTCATAATACTTAGTAAATAAGCTAAGTTTGGCCAGCACTGTTAATATAGTAAAATTTTTCAATCAAACAACTATACCTCAAGATCTTTAAAAGATTGTCCATTTTGTGTGAGTTGCAAATTATGCATCACACAGCTATTACATAGCTTAATGCTCAATTTTTCCATCTCAGATAGCAAGTCGAACTCATTTCTTTGTTGTAAAAGGGTATTTTTCTTGCTTCTTAGAACCTCAATGCCAAAGAAGTATTTCAATATTCCAAATCCTTTCATGAACTATAAAGAAAGGCTTTAAAGGACAAAATACCTAACATATGATCAAAACCAATGGAAGTTGTTGATTTTGCAGTACTCACACAAGATGAGAAACAAAATATACAAGAGAGTTTAGAACGCCCTAGTTATGTTCATAGTTCATTCGAGTCTCCATCAATTTGTATTGAATCCAATCATAGTGATCAATTTTGTCCTTAATAAAATGTCTCTCTTCCTATACACACATAAATGGGTTATAGATCCACTTACAAGAGGTGGGTAGCCTTAACCGATGTGTTAATAGGGAAGCCCGAAGGCTGTTCAAGTTTGTATCCTTGAACATTTTCTTCATTTTCATATATCAATGAAAAGTTTGTTTTTTGTTAAAAAAAAATAATAAATGGATTATTCATTCAAAATATAATCATAAAATTAAAGAAAAAACCACAAAAAAAAAAATACCGTTTAGAGATAGAATGGTTCTTGTGGATATGCAAGAGCAAAATCTCATAACAGAAATACAAACAAGAAAAAGAGCAGAGACAATACCTACACATCTTGACCAAGAAAGGTAAATACTGATTTATCAAAGAAGACCAACCTTGAAAGAAAGGTCGACTTGTGCACAAAGAATAATGGAAGAGATGCCAATCAAGATTAGTTCACAGAACCACCATATGTTAGGTATCAAGGAAGAATATTTATGCAAAGCAAGATCGCGACCAAGAAATAAAAACCAACCAGACAATCGTATCAGAGCTGACCTTCCAACATTTTGTGGGCACTTAAATACAGAAGCATTTCTAGATTGGACTAGAAATATAAATAAAACAGGTTCGAGCATATGGAAATATCCGAAGAAAAAAAAAGTTAGACCAGTGACCTATAAGCTAAAATCAGGAGCCTACATGGTGGGTCGTCCAATTACAATCAAACCAAAGAATGGGCAAAAAATATTGTTTGAACATGGTCTACAATATTTTGCTTCAAAATTGGAAAAAGTTAACCTAGGATTACATTATACCAGCATTTAAGTAAATGGAATCACGCTTGCATACAGAAGATGATTCATACAGATTGACAACAAATAACAATCTACAAAAGCAAACCTTGCAACAATTCGGACTAATGATGGAGCTTCTCACTGCATAAGGACCGGCCAAGTCTAGTTTTCCAATGACAAAGAGAACTACATCGAGCGAGGTCTCATTGAAGGATATGTCCAACTACCAATATACCACAAAAACATATTATTGAGATGTGTAATGGAAAAATAATGGGCTAACTGCAGAGTCAGGAAAAAATGATAATACCTCCTTCATTCTACAATAGATATGCACAGGAACCCGATGTGAAATTGTTTCTGTGCTATCGCTTTTGACGCTGAGTCGGTAGTAAAGGCAAAAGTCAACTGGGTTGATAAACCGTTGCCTGTATTTCAAATTCAAGAAAATTTTATGAAAAGGAATTGAAACTAAATTTAGGGAAGGAGCAAAAATAAATCTTCAAATGGGTGGTGATTAATGGTAACATCCATTCAGCACAAATACTCACCATAAATTTCTTTGCACGTCGAAATAATGTAATACAGCATTAGATGTGCTAAGAATCCTGGTTTTATTTGATGAAATTTGTAGGGTCAGTTGCATATTACCAAGGGAACCACGAATGAGAGGCAATATGTCATTCGTATCAGATATTTCATGAACGATTGTCAGAGAGATATTCTCAATTGAAATATCAATGCTTGGAAACATCCCATCTGTTCCAGATATTCTCACATCCATGTGAGAATTTTGTTGACGACTGGTTTCAGACGTCTCAGAAAGATAATGGTCCATATTAGCAACACCACAAACTCCAGGAAAGTCATGGATCATTTTAAACTTAAAAGGATTTCCAGGTTTTCTAACAAACTCTGGAACCCCATCAACGAAAGCAATACCACAATCACTCTTCTTGTTCACTAGATAAAGTGTTCTTTTACCAAACTGGTTGTATGGTTCCCAATCCGTATCACCTTTTTGACCTCCCTGCATATGAGAAAATGATCTCCACAGTGCCGTACCTCTATCATCAATGCCAGATATGTTAACAACTCCAGATCCTGGACAACAGTTCAATCTCAAATGTTTGCCTTCGGCATTCTTTGCATACAATGATATTAAGGAGAACCACAAAACTGGTGAAGGCCATCTCCTCTGTTTTTTGTATTTAACCTGCACATCCATAGTGATATGCCAAACCGAGGGGTAAATATCTACATGGTCTCTCAAGTGAAAAGGAAAATCATAAAACACGGACACAAAAATAAATAAAAATGAGTTCTAGGTTAATTATGAAAGAATATTGTACTCTTTTTCCTCAAAGTTTAGGGCTATAAACTAACAGAAAATTATGATAGAATTCTCAAATCCTATTCTATTCACAAAAGTCATACATATACAGGCATGAAAGTATAAGCTCATAAAATGTAAAATTTACACTAAAAGATAACTCATGTATGAGCTCTTATATCTAAAATATTTACATTACTATACGACAACATGCTATAACCCTCTCTCAAGTTTGGGGCATTATGTTAATCCAATCTAAATTATTATAAAGTAGTCAATTCATGTTCCATTAATGTCTTTGCGAAGATATATCCAATTTTTTTTTTAACAAGAAACAAACTTTTGCCTTTTAAGTAAATGCAGACAAATGGTTTATACCATTTGTGGATATATCCATACTGCTTCACGAATAGATTATGTGTTCAGAATCCATATATATAAATTAAATTTACCCAACCTCTTAACCTTTTCGATTGAGTGATGGTTTATTCATCCTTAACATGGTTTCAGAGCGGGAGGTACTGTGTTCGAATCCCTACATTATTATTTCTCCCTATTTATTATAATTTCCACTTGTTGGGCTTTGTGCAATTATCTAAGCCCACAAGTGAGAGGGAATGTTGAGAATCCATATATATGAATTAAATTTACCCAACCCATCAGTTTAAGCTTTTGGGTTGAGCGGTGGTTTGTTCATCCTTAACACTATGTCATATCTCTCTATATCTTCCTCCACATGTAGAGATACAATTCTGTGATAGCTCCATATTATGTTTCTTACTGTTTCATGAAACTACCTTCAACAGAGAACTATTCTCCTTAAATCCAACGCAATCAATACTTAAAAGATAACTCAATCTTGATATGGCCACCATCTTCACACATGACTCCTGATCCAAGGGCACCTTTCAAATAATACATTATTTACTCTATTCAACCCAATAATTAACTGTATGTGAAAACATAAACTAATTTATCATGCTTACTAGATAAGCTAGGCCTAGTTAAGTCATTATATGGTAGTTCAACTTGAACAACCTGAGTAGTTTGTCAATTCTATCAGCATCCAAATCATGTTGATCCACTATATTGTAGAGCTCATCTGTTCCATAATCTTCCTCAGAAAGTACCATTCTACCCTATCACGTACTTTACTCATATTTAGCTTAAGGAAGTAAATTCCTTTGTTTCCCTTTATATCATGGATGCCTTTGTAGCCTACAAGATCATTACAAGGAACGAGTGCACTTGGATTGGTAGAAATAATGTTATCTAGAACCCTCTTCAACCTATATCCAGCACCTCCGTTATGATTTATACATTACATTACAAAGGCTCATAAATCTAAAATCTTTCATCTAAGTGGCACTCTTTTTCTTAGAAATCAATACAATTTTGGTTTCGTATAAACCAATCGAAGATTTTTTTTTAACTCATTTAGTTTGTTTTCCTTATATAGCTCATCCACTTCAATGAAACAAACTTTTATCAGGGAAAAAAAAAGAAGAAAGAACAGATGGTTATTTTCAATATACTACCCAGCAGCCTTCTGCAGGTAAATAAGACCATTTTAACAAAAGAATTGATGAAGAAGATAAGTGAGGGAAAGAAATAAAGAGGAAATAAAGCTGGGACTAATGTCAGCAGCATATATTTCACGAGAAAGAAAATTCTACCTTGCCAAAAAAATTCGTCCAACTATTTCAACAGTTTTCATGTTAACTAATAATAGCTAAGCAAGCTCTCATCCCATAGTCTACAATATCTTATCAACATAAAATAAGGGCATGACTTGTAGAAAACTGGATGCAATAAACTAGCATTAGGTAAAAAAAGAAGGTTGAGCAAAAGGGAAATAGTTGGAATCTTAATAGCAAAGTAAGTAGAAAAGGAAAGAATGCCCTACACTGAACAAAGCAAAAAGTTCTATAGAATTACCCTGAATAAAGCCCGGTCTCCCACAAGAGAATAGTGCATTGCACCGACCAAATTGTACCTGTCACCACCACCTTCTACGCTCAAGTACATGTGCTGATGGATGTCTCGGATTGCAATAATCGCCCCTTTGTAGGTCATAGAAATAATTAGCTCAAGATAACCAAAATTCATAACTTGTAAGTTAGAAACCTTCAAATGATAAAATACCATCAGTAACAAAGGTTTCCGCATCAGTGGAAAACGTCTCGGGGGTATTAGCATCAACTCCCTGGTTACTCGACCATGGCCTTTTATGCAATTCATTTGTCTTTTCCTTGTCGGACCGTCCAGAAAATGATGAAACAGTTAACAAAATCATCTGAGGAAATTAAAAGGAAAAAATATATTGTAATATAATGAAGCAAAAGAGAAATAAGATGGATCCAAGTTAAAATAAAAAATGGTGGCTTCCACGGTAAAGAGAAAAAATGTGTTGGCAAAGCTGCTCTAAGAGAAATGTAGGACCCACCTGTATTTCAGAATGAGACAATGTGAGATCCAAACCTGACATAGAGCCATTGCCTGCCCAAGCTTCACTTAATAAGCCTATATGATCACTGTAGGTCTTCTCAATTGACAAGAAAGCGACTAAGTTCTTCAACAAATAATTCTGACTGCTAAAACAAAAAGGCCCACTGACATTATTATTTCTAGAAAAATCTTCATTAGTAACCGGATGTTTTGAACTGCTTGCATAATTATCTGGTTGAACTTCCTTCGCATATTGAGAGCCTGAAGCAGATTCTCCAGCTACAAGGTGAGATGACTTATTTGAAGAGAAATGAGGAATTTGAATGTTAAACCGTAAGGTCTTTTCAATTCGTTTGGAGATAATTGACAAGTGAGAAAGATTAACTACAAGTGTTTTCCTAGGATCAGCCAATTTAAGTTCTAAATGGGCATCAACTTCAATCACAAATTCCCAAATTGCACCTGCAGAAAAGGACCAATATTCAAGTAGGTGTACAAATATAATTAAAATAGAACCAAAGGAAAATGAAATACCAGATTCATTTTCGATGAGGAGAACAAGAGAGATGTTAGAGACATTGAGCATAAAAACTTCCAGAAGTTTCCATTTGACTCTTAAAAAAGAGTCAGTAGTCTCGCCAACAACATTGTCGGCAGCAGTATCCTCCAGTCTAGTAATTTCCACCATTTCTTGAGCCTTCTTATCTTGTTGATGAGAAAATTGCAACACAGACAAAAGACTCCCTATGGCACGATAGTATGAATTGAAACAATTGATAAATAACGCCAAAACCATTGTTTCAAGGAAAAGGATACCACCCTGCCAATTAGCAACATGTTTCAGTCCACTTCGAAGGCAATTGTTTGAACTTAGTAATTTACAAGATAAATGGCACAATTGTGAATGGAACAATAGTACCTATTTGTCGCTGTACTGATAAATTACTTAACAGTTCAGAAACCTAGACTTGTAGTAAATCAAAGCATCCTTCCTTTTTTTTCTATCAGAAACAGTATCTTCCTTTCTTATTTTATTAGATCTTCATAACTTCATCAAAAAAAAAAAGATCTTCATAAGACAGAGTACCTCTCCCTTTTTTCAGACAATTTGCCTCTCACCATCCACAAATGTTATTACCATAAAAGGGAAACGTAAGCAAAACTAACCACATTTAGTGAATACGACTAGTACTTAGAAAAGAGAATTTGCTGAGGTATGAACCTGTACAACTCAACACAACTAAAAGAAAGGGAAAGTAATAAATCTATATGCTCCACAAAACAATTACCTGAATCTCCCAAGAGATGGTCTGAAATTCTCCCCCGACTAAGAGAAATGACGAAAGTTTACTCATTTGATGTACTCCAACTAGGACTTCATGCACTGGGCTACTTGTTATGAAAATCCTACTAATTGAAACATTTACAAGCAACTGTAAGTTTGAAGATGATGAAGTGGAATCAAAGTCCAGAGCCTGAGCAAAGACAGACTGTCCACCTGGCCCTTCAGAGTTGACTGCCATGTCAAAATTCTCCACGTTGAATTCATTATTTCTAGAAATAGAACTGTGGGGAATATTCCTTGACCTTTCTGAAGATGAGGCATTACATGGACTCAGAGATAAAATTAACATGAAATTAGAGAGATAAATCTGATGATAGCAATTAAGTAATTGCGTCAGCAGATATTTGGATACAGATTTATCTATACCTCTCTTCTGATACCTAAATATAAATGAAACGATCTCAGAGATATCAGTAAGAATATCAACTTTTTCCTCCTCACAAGTTACCTTAACTCTTCCTTCATGAATAGAAATCCAAATTCCACAATCAGGGAGATTGGTCTCTGCCATTTTCTGGCTGTTTGAAAAGATCTTACAACTGTCAAAAGCATCACTCACCCTGGAATTATGAAGAATAACATCCATCGACTTAATTTTATAGACTCCGAGAATCATATAACTAGTACGACAAGTTATCGAGGCTTCTTTCACATATACAAACTTAGGCATGGGCTTAGCAAGCATGATATTTTGTTTCATGAATTCCTGGGGCCCCCAACTGGCAGAGCCTAGGTAACAGATTGCAGAGGACAAATGTCCTATAACCTGACAGCAGCAATACTCCAGATAAGAAAACAAAGACTGAAAGACATAAAATGCAATTAGCATGAATTGCAAGATTCTGCTTTACATAAATTTGACACTAGTTAAACTTTATCTGGTGACTTTAAAAACAACCCTAATATGCATTACACAAAGAAAATATAGAAGTTAGAGAAAAATACTTCCCAGTTGCATTAATCTCACTGAAAAAAACCCACATCGGTATATTCAGGACATGTGTACTATACAAGAGAAGAAAACTAACAACAGCAGATTAGGAAAAAGATACTGTATCACTGTACAAAAGGAAAGCCAAATTAAAAAAAAAAAAAAATCCCATAAATAATGGGCAGCGAGAAATTGGGGGAAATGATCTTCCCCTTTAACCCTCATTCTAACACTTTCCCCCAAGCTTTCTTGAAACTGTGTCATTTGCTTGGTTACTAGGGCGTCCCATTATTCATCTTCCAAATTTCTAAAATTAATAGATATTTTGAATTTCCTTCTCTTATAATTTTTTTTCTCTAAATTTCTACCAATTTACCAATTTACTAAGTATTATGTAATATAAGTTTATCATTAGGCAATTTTATCATTCACCAAAGTGAGGGACTAAATAGAAAATTTTAAAATATAAGGGGCTAAATTGAAACTTTTTAAACAATATAGACTAAATTGAAAAATACTCAAATATTATAGACTAAAACATATATTTAGCAGAAAAAAGAAAGCTCCCAACTGCTAATCACATTGCGAGAATAAATACAAAATGTTCTAGATAATGCACACCAAAAAGAAGCATGGAATTTCAGTAATATCCATGCTCTCACTCCATTGCAAAGACTTTCCTTCAAAGGTTCTTTGATTTCTTTCCTACCAGATCTCCAAAATAATGCTTTAATGGCAATTAGGGTATCAACAGAGGAAATAAAACATAATTAGGATCATCAAGGTTTCAAATATACAAGTACCTGAATGAAAAGATGCAAATCCTCCATATATGATAAAGCAGTGAAACCTGTGGTTGTACAGTCAAAAGCTACTGAGAAAGCACTGACATTCTCACTGAATGAGTGAACATATTTCCTGCATCAATTTTTCATTCACAATAAACTTACAAAAAAAAAGTCTTAACCACGTATTATAGTATCTGTGTTGCAAAAGAATATGTAGCCATCTAGATAATATGTTTTCATATTTATACTTAATGTTGCAATCTAAATATTGTCCAGGAATTCCACTCATCTCACATTGAAAACTGAGTATCGCCAGCCAACCTCAAACTGACGAAGTTCCACAAATTCTCTGGTCATAAAAATTTTTAAGTTCTTCCTTTAATTAGATAGAAACTCCTAACATGAAGCAAATATAGTATCATAATTTCTAAACTAAGTGTAGGATATTTTAGTTTCTTTCTTGGTTAGGTGAAAACGATAAATTAATGATCATAATTTCTAAACTAATAGTAGGACATTTGATTGTCTTTTCTTTTTTTTTATGTTTTTTATAAGAAATAGAAACTTTGTATACCAAAAAACCATGTACAGCCTAAAGGCTGGGGGATGAGAAAGCTCCCACCTTACAAAACTAATGAAGAGCCGCTTTCTTCCATTTTCTTTTCTATTGGCATTAACATAATTATATCATTTTGCAATAAGTGTTGGCTTGAAGAAAATAAATGAGAAATTATGCTCTTCGAAATATAATTTAAAAAAAAAAGGAAAAGAAATTCATAACCTCACCAAATTTAAGAGGAGGTGATATATCTTAATTAGATTGAAGCAGTGTATGTGTGTGGGTGCAACATACATCTAAACATAAACAAACACATACACAAATGTATCTTTGCATGTCTGCGTGTATGAGATTCTGCATATGAGTTTTAAGTACATACATACAAGAAAGCATATAGATATTCTTTATTATTTTTTTTTTCTTAGACAAGAATCAAACCACTTTCACTAAGGAGTCTTTTCAAATAGATATTCTTAATTGAGTTCATCAGAGCCACAATTTACACAGAGCTTTCAACTTTTGAGAGAGTTACTATAATTTGATAGAAAAAGGATTAATAATATAGTCATACCTGACAATTGATGATAGGATCAGCATTGGATTAAAAATGAATATTGGGTTTTGTTGTTTCCCCTCCAAGTCTACTACATAAGCATTTAACCCATTAACTTGTAGGTAGAACCAATGTGAAATTAATCCTTGAGATGCATACTTCTCATTATCAATTGTTGAAATATTAGGTTCTTTCAAACGGAGACATTCAACTTCTATATTGACAGCTTCAGAGGACAACTCCATCAGAAATGCCCGATCACAACTGGAAGCTGGGCAAACAGCAATTTCAATGTCATGAATATCAAATGCAATGGGTGGGTCGCCCTTATGAACTACGTCACCTGGGATTACATGGCCATCATTAAAGTTTTTTTCGAGTGCCATTTGGATGTGAGAACCAGCTATCTGCATTGCAACTTGAATGTGCTTATGCGGTAGCTTCTTAAGCAATGGTACCACCATTTCACTGGCAAAGCCCTCACACTTATTATTCGAGCAGACTTCTCCATCATCTATAATTATTTTCGGTGCATGCAAAGAAACTTCAGGACTTTGCTCATCCTCAATCCAAGAATAAGCACTATGTTGCATCAATTTAAGGAGCAAAGATGCCGATAGTATTGATGAATAGCCCAAAGCTAAATTCAGCTTACCTAGAGACAAATTGCATTCCCATAATGCAGTATTTGAATTCTCAACCACTGATTTTGTCAATGAGCTATTGATTTCACAAAGAAACCAAGGATTATCTGAATACTTGATCCCACTTTCTTCAACTTTCATGCATATAGATTTCCACCTCAACCACATCCCCCCCAAATATTTAACCAGGAACGGATTGCAACCAACTTTACCAAAGTCCGCAATATTTGTTTCCTGATCATCAGAAGGAAGAAAGCTCCGAGCAGATTCACCCCAAATAATAGGTTTCAGATTATTTGCTCTTTCAATGTCATACTCCTTTAGAGACCCAAGCAGATCACTGGAACAGCTTCTACTGATGGAATCCTCCTCAGAAGGTAAGGAAGTAACATTGAATTGGCCACAGGATATGAGTAAAGACTGTTCACAAAGATCATCCATGTACTTGAATAAGAGTGCATCAAGGGAAAAATAGAATGAAAGAAAACAGGACGATGGGATCCCAAACTTTGATTTAAGGTTTTCAATTGTAGGAGGTTGAATTTCATGTGTGGGATAAATAGACACCAAGAGTTCTCCAATATTCAACATAAAGCAAAACCGAGGATTGGAATCTTGTGGTACAATTTCTGAACATCCATCAATTTTCTGCCATTGACTCAAAGTTTTAACCATGTATCCCTCTATGAAACAAAATATATTGCATACCATTTTCCAAATGCATAAAAGCATGGAAAATATCTGATAAAATAATTTTAAGGGGACGACGCTAGATGCTTCCTTTTTTTCTTCTGCACATTTAACATTCTTGATGGCTCTATAACGTGATATTTGTCGTGCCTGTGCAATGGATTCGATTGGTAACTTCTTCTCAATATCCAATATTGTTATCCAATGTTTCTTGAAAGAATTGAAGAGTTTTCTATCCCAACAAATCTTATAAGTGAATTTCTTCATCAAATTTTCCACAGGATATCCAGTTAGTAGTAGTAAAATTTCATAGGCATTAACATACTGTATCCACAGCATGACAATAGTAACAATACGATGCAATGACACTCCAGGCACTGAAGTAATGTGCCCAATTCTTTGAGCAGCAAGCTTCCACAGTTGTCTACCATTTCTAGCAAACTTGTATTCTGTAGATGACATTACATTTAATACTGCATATATAGAAACCTCAGCAGGAGAAATTGAAAGGCTTAGTTCCGGAATTCTAAGATTCACGTCAATAAGCTGAAGATCATACAATTTGCAGCAACTGACTATATCTTTTAAATTCAAGATTCTAGTAATCTGCATTTCCCTCTTTAACACAATCTCAAGATCATTGCCAATGACAACAAGGCAGCTATGTGCTGAGGGTCTAAAGACTGCATTTATGAGCTCATGAAGACATCCATGATTCTGATTTTCAGATTTGACACTTAGATGATTGATGCCCAATGAACATTCAAAGACATTGTTAAAGATGGGGAACTCCAGTTCTAAGTTAATATTATACATCTGTAGGCAACCACGTTTAAGTAATAGATTTCTAGAAGCTGTTTTCAACCGGTATCTTGGTAGTGGGTCCAGAAAACTCTCCATGATGTCATGCAAAGTAGCACCCTGAAACCCATTCAATAACCTCAGAGCTGGTACTTATGATGAGGCACAAGGCTCAAGCGGTAAACAACTTTATTCTGTTCAATAAAGATAACCGAAGAAGCAAATTGAAGTATAAGGCCATGGTTTGTGATTTTAAAAAAAAAATAGAGAACAAGGGATACAACATAAAACAGGAGACTGTATTCCTTGTATTTCTTGAATTTAAAAATGCGTTTAATAGCACAATTTGCAAACAGAGTCTTGAATTCAGGAACTTAGAAAACTTTACTTTGTGGTGATTTTGGAAAATATGAAAATATCATTTATGTTTAGCGGAGTCCAAATTTTGAAAAAAGATTAAGTGAGAGAGGGGAAGGGACTCATAGTCCATCAAAAGAACAAACGCAGAGTTCAATTTGTCAGAAAACCTCGATCCATGTTTTCATTAACTTTGGAAATATTTAATTTGTAAAGAAAGGCAACATTGAAAGGATAATTTCAATTTTTTTACGTGGATTACTGTTTTTCGAAACCATTTTCGGAAACAAGCCAATCAAAACCAAACTCAGTGTATCCATAGCATCCCTTGTTTCCGGAAACGTAAAAGTATGTATTCGATACCAGACGGCCCTAAATATTGGATTCTTTTAGCAACTCAACCGTGCACCTCACCTGTCCTTGCTTACACTTATATTTCTTCTAAAGTTATTACTTATTCCCAAATTGACAGCAACCAACTGACGCGAACGTATAGAAATCATAATAAATAAGCGACCAAGAGTAGTGAAGCGAAGAATACTTATCACTGTTAACATGTTAAAGTGAAGACTAAGATCAATGATGTGACAACACTAAGCTTGTTAAGGTGCTAAAAGATGTCAGTATCCATCCTACGTAAAACGCAATCTCCAGCACAATCCAATGTCATAATTTGTCTGAAAATGAAAAGAAAATTAAAAATGCAATCACCTCCGGATCAATAGCAGATAGATTCTCCTTCAGAATATCAGAAAATGTGCTATTGGATTTCCGTTTTCCCCTCGGGACCTCCTCCATATTAAACTCCCTACAAATTAAATACCAAATAACCATCAACACTCGACGAAGACCATGGATTTGGAGACATCTAACAACATCTACAATTTAGATGATCGCGGAAAACAACGGTTGACTAACCTGACAGATAACGTTCCATGGACGCCACGTACTATGATCTCGAAGGCCGGGAAGGGCCAGTAAGTGACCATAACGCTCAAGTGGTCGACGGTCACCTCTTTGAAGGACATGCTTATCGCGGTATCCTCGATTAGCTCATTGAGAGCCGAAACGTTCAAGTGGAGGTTCCGGGCAATGACGGTGGAACGGGTAAGCCCCAAATTCAGCTGAAGGTCGGAGTCTTCGGGCAACCATGGCTGTAGCAGAGACACCAGCCTCCGCAGAAGCAAATTACGCAGACCCATGGCGAATTTCCTACTGAAACAGAACGGTGCAGAAGCGCAATTCTTCCATTAGAGTGGTGATGATTCCTTTCCCAAGAAACACGCGCGAACTTTGATTCCTTCCCCAGATTTTATCCAGTTAAATGTAAAGTGGGAGTGGAGAAGAATGAGATTGGGAAGTTAAAGAAGAAACTTGTAGAAGACAAGAAGTTAGTGAACGTACGGCGGGAAGGATCGAGGCAACAGACTGTAGGTAGACGGGTACGGGGGACTCGAGACCTCACGTGACTGCCACCTGCACTTCTCCTCCTCGTGCACACACGCGTCACCTGTAATATTTATCCCAACTATGTATCAACGGCTAACCTTAGCTCAACTGGGTTAATAAACTCGATAAAAACAATCTATTGTTGTATTATATATATATATATATATCAATTTTCATTTTTCATTTTTATGTTTCATGGTTATTTATACAAAATATTGATATTGATATCTTAACTTATAATATATATATATATAAATTGTTAAATTATACAAAAAATCCCTTTAACTCTATGAAATTACATCCTTATCGTTTTAAACATTTCAATTCCACCTTCCACCTTTAAAATTGTTTCATAAACACCCTTCCACCAACTTTTCTATTTTAATACATAATTGTGATGTGACGAAGTGAAGAGGTACACATGAAAAATTGATAGTGAGTTGTAAAATGAAAGCTACATACTTTAAAATATCTATATGAATATTTTCATTAAAACCTTGGTCATCAACACTAATTTGAGGAGTTTAACAGAGAACATGGTTCTTTTAATATAAGGGCAAACAGTGCAAAACGAGAACTGGCTTGCTACTAATCTGTAAAAACACCCAAGAATTCTACGTATAGCTAAGACAGAGGAATCATCGGAGATCGCTTTCAATAATCCGACAAACTCCTTTTAGAGGCATTAGTTCAAACCTCAAACCATAACAACCACCTCAGTAAAATGAAATTTTCGATGTTAATATTGTAGAATCAAATGGTTGGGATTATTTCACGTCAAGTACAAAACCAAAGTATATAGAAGATCTAGACTCTAAACGAATATCCCTTGTTTAGAATGTTCATCATAGACCAACGGTATCTGATACTCATCAAAGTACATCAATAAACCAAAATAACAAGAAAAGAAAGGAACCTAAGCAATCCGAGGAACTTAGAACCCTCCTCCTTGAGCCATGCTCGATATAAGACCATCTGAAAACGTCCTCCATCACCTTACTACCGAGGTCTCTAACAAATGCTGGTGACTAAACATTCCCTCTTAACAACCTTCAACTATCCCATACAACTATACTTTCACTAACTGAACCCAAAATCTAACATTCATTCAGATGCCTTGAATGTCAGTTAATCTGTACGAGGATTATAAGGTACTGCATTCTTGCATTGTTTTCTCAGAATTAGCAAATCTGAAATATTTATTGCTTCTCGGTAGAAAGAACCCCAATTCTACATTGGTGTTATAAGTAGTTTCCTTGACATATCTTTGAATAACATACACAATGGTTACCAATGAGTCAATTACATCCCGTAGAAAATCATGAAAGATACACAAAAAGATGTGGAATATAGCATCAAGCTACTGAGCTCCAGCTTCGTCTTTCTTCTCTGACAAGTACCTATTCAAATGTAGCTCGTGTAAAACAGATGCAAAAATTATCACCCACAACTTACATGCACAGTCTTACAAAGCTAAGCTGAAATGTAATAAAGATGTACATGTTAATTCCTAATAGTTTTGAGTGTCAAAATAAATGAACTTTCAATGTGACATAAAACAAAATTTTTAATATTTTCTTGTGGGAAACCTTGACACAAATACAAGTCAAGATAATGTTCTGGCTCCTTACCACTTCCCTTTATGTCATCCCTACAACAAGGTTCCAATAGTTCCAATAACCAACACAGATGATAACTTAAAGGAACTGATGGGGAAGATCACATTGTCAAAAAGCTATTTCAGTTATTGATTCTCAAGTTACATCATACTTCTTTCCTGCAAATCCCAAAGCTTTCGTTTTTTTTTTTTTGGTCATCCAAAGAGCTTCCCAGATAGAGAGACACTAGCGGAGTTTTCAATATTGAGGTAACGATCACAAAATTCAATTAAGTTGCTTAGTTGGTTACTTACCCTTGAGCCTTTGCCCAACGTGAGAATTGATACAACTGTACTGTCTCATTCGATGCATGACAAGCAAGAAGTAGATAATTGCGGGGTTGCACCATCCATGCAAATCTCATGAACAGCGCTGAATAGACGCACATTGCTGCAGAGAAAAGTGTAGGTATTACAACTTGGACCAAATTCATGGACATGATGTATAAATGAGTTCCAACAAAGCTAGGTTCAACCTGCTGTCATGTTGCCAGAAATCATCTCTGGTGGCTTGTTCATGTCTGCTAACCCCTGTTTGGATCCACCAACATGATCAAGACAATTGCAAAAAGAAACTAAGAAAAGCAATCAAGTGATCGGCAACACATCAGGCATAGTAAAACTAATGCTTAAACAGAAGTCAAACATACAGCAGCAACAAATCCCCAGTTGGCAATAGGTCCCCAAAAATGAGTAGTTTTTGGACCAACAGGGCTGTTCAAGAATGCTCGGAATGAAGCCATTCTCTGATTTCTACAAAATAAATAAGAACAAACCATAAAATTCGAAATTAATGAATCAACATGCAATGGTGAGACAATAATAACTTTTAAAAACACACACTTAATATGACAACCAAAAGATGGACTATATTATATGATTCGTATAAAATGTCCATCGGGTGAGAGGGGAGAAGTAACTAAACAAGTAAAATCACTGTTCTGCAAAAAAGTGAGTTAACCAAAATGCACTAGATAATAGATATTAAGGCATATGAACAGACATCAACGTAAACTATTCCCACCAATATTTCATCATACTTCAACTTGAAATCCCCTCTCGCAACCCCCCACACTTCAGGCACAAACTCCACCTGCGAGGGAGATTTATGAACCATACTTTTCTATCACTAAAATAGTGATGTGATTCTGTGATATGTAAAACTACTCATGTACCAAGACACTAAAGACATTATTGGCAATTTCCTATGACTTGAAAATTGAAATCATCTCATACTCCTTTCCAAAATGGCAAGAATACACCTAGATTACAAACTACCCTAATAAGCCGATACCATCAGCTAAATTAATGATATATCTTTATTTGAGAGAGAGAGAGAGAGAGAGAGAGAGAGAGAGAGAGAGAGAGAGAGAAGAAGAGGAATAAGAAGAAGAAGAAGAAGAAGAGGAGGAAAAAGAACGGCCAAATTTTGAAAATAAGAAGTACAACGTCAGATAAATTAAGCTAATAAATTTAAGAAATAAAAACCATTCTTGTTGTCTCGGGTCACGGGTCAGGACTTAAGTTAATCCAACGAACTTAGATAAAAACTCAAAGCCCAAACTCAAATTTTCATCAACTTCCACTGTGATAAACATGGCAAAATCAATGACATATGTTCTCCACATAAATTTGCCTTCATATAAAAAGATATCAAAATTAGACCTAAGTCCTGCAGAAGTTAAAAATGCTTGTCTGCTTCGATATTTTCGTCTGTGACGATTTCGTCTAAGGCACCTCTATGATCAAGTGCCGAAATATAGTAGAAATAGAGAGACGGAGCAGGACATCTTAGACGAAGTAGCATTTTCCTGAAACCAAACTAAGCTAACCAAACGAGTTTTCTCACGCCCGTGCTGCCCATATGCACAAGCCATGTGCCCAAAACCAAAAGCACAATCTTGACACAAATCCCTTTTTCAACAGCTCAATTCTATTAATCGATCAAGCCCGTGCCACTTAAAATCTCAATTATAAAAAAAAAGATCTATAAAATATTAAATTCATAGGCAACAGAGAACAAACGAGCGTTGTCGGAAACCGAGTAATCTATATATGAAATATTTGTGTTCCCAATTCATTCAACCGGTTAACTGCAAAAGCAAAAGACCAAGGGGGGAGAGAAAGGGGCATTTAAGAGAGTGCTAGCTGCGAATTTTTCATTCTCATTTCCCCATGGTCAATCAGGGGGAAATTGAAACCCAATTCAAAGATAGTACTCAAGGAATATCATCCAAACTATCATATCTACAAATTTAATGTTTAAATCCGCCTACCTATAGTCATTGCGATTCCCAGAGAAAAACCTGAGAGAAAAACTATGTATATTTCCGCGAAAAAGAAAACACTTGATCTAAGAAAATTCAGCTTGCTCTGTAAAAACTATAAAATCTGAAGGGCGTGCAGAGAGTACCAGCTGAACTTTGCTCCAATTAATAACTATAATTCGGTGGAGATCAAGCCAAGAGAGAATGGAGAACCGCTAGAGAATTTTGACTTTGAATCCACACAACAGGGAGAAGATGTAGAGCGATGGTAGGCTGATTTTCCTTTTTCCTTTTTTTTTCTCTCTTATGGGCCTATAGCCGGTAACCATGGGCCTAGCCTAAGGAACTGTTGAACTCAAAACGAAAAAAATATAAAAAATCACTTAAATAAATAATTAAAATAAAATAATAGGTATTTTTTAACCACTTAGTTCCTAAACTTTAGTTCGTAACGATTTAGTTCTGGTACTTTTAAATTAGTAACAATTAATATAAATAATTTAGTCATGTAGTTTAAAATTTTAACAATATAGTCTCTATCGTAAAACGTTTTATCAAAATTAAGTGTCGACTTTTATCATACGTGGTAATTTATAAATACATTTGATCTTTTACTGGTTTATCAATCTAAATGTATAAAAATTTTAATAAATTTTTTCACGATAGACATTAAATCGTTACAAATTTTAAACTACATAGACTAAATTGATACATACTAAAGTTGAATGATTAAATTGATACAATTTAAATGTAGATGACTAAATTGTTACTGTAACAAAAATACAAATCAAATGTGTTATTTTAACCTAAATAATAATACCAATTAAAAAATGTTAAAAGGAAAAACTCAGCCCAATCCACCTGATCCAATATCAGCCCACCGTATTACATAAAATAAAAACAAAACAAAATAAAGAAATGCCCTAAGCTATTCCGCCCGCTCCCGTGCTCCACTTTCATCTTCACGCCGGCTCCCCCTCCCTTTTAGCAGCTCAGTGCCGCCGCCGTCTCTGTTCTACTCGTGCCGCCATCGCCTCCTTCCTAGCAGTTTGCACTGATTTTCTACTCTCTTGTTACTGGTATTCTCCCAGTCTCCTTATATGTGTTTCTTATCTCTTTAACAACTCAAGTTAGGACTTGTCTAATGAAAGAAAGGAGGGGTTGTTTTGATTGAGAGTACAGCTTGAGCATATTTATATTTGTAGATTGTAGTTGGTTTTGTTAAGTTTTTAGAATTAAATTATGTTAGCGAAGACGACGAGCCTTGAAGTTTTCCCTTAGATTAATCAATCAGCAATGGTACTGTGAATTTACTGGAAATAATAGCAGTCTGTATCGTACGTCAATAGAAATAAATGTTTGAGTAAAATTACACATATTAAGAAGTGGAGCAATCTGTTATAGTTAAGAATTGAATGGGCTCTGTCTTCGTCGAAGAATTTAGGAATTAGGATGAAGCATGTTGTTTCAACATCTTTGGAGATTTTCTGGGTGATAGATAATAAGGAAGGTTTCATGACTTCTTAACTTATTTTTTTGCTGACAGATTACAGCTTGTTTTGCTTTGAAATTTTGCCATGACTTTACTTGAAGTAATCAAGAAAGCCTCCGCCATCTCTGAACCGCTTGCTTCCCAGTCTGACTACCCCATTCTTCTCAATCCAGACGATATTCTTCCCTGTTTGAAATCCAAAGGTGATGAACCGGATCCCATTTCTCTTGTCAATCCCGTTACTGGATGGAAAATATCGGAAACTGATTCAAATGTGATTGATTTGGGCAAAAAGTTCCATGAGAATCTTAAGCAGAAGCTCAAAAACCGCAACTTCTCTAAGCCTGAGTTTATTAACATTTTTAATGCGTTTCTTGAGAAAATGAGGGAAAGGGTTGGAATTACAGTTGGTGTTAGTTCATCTGACAAATCTTACACTAAGGTTTTGATTGAGAAACTTGGGTTCCTGATTAGTAAAGACGTTGAAGACTTGGTTTTGGATACATGTATTGCTTTTGAGGATTGGGAATTAGTGGAGACTTTTGTTGTCAATAGGCTCGTTAAACACTCATCTTATTCAAATTTGATTCTGAAGCTTGTGGCGAAGAAGAGGTCAGATTTACTCTGTCTTTGTATCAAGCAAGTATCAGATTTTGGTCCTGCTGATTTACATTGCACTTTGAAGTACTTTCTTTGCCCTTCCAAAGATGCTTATGCAAGTATGGGCAACGTGAGGAAGGAATGGGAAGGCCAAGCATTGCTAGCCATTGAGAAGGCAAGTGATAAAAGTCTGAAAGGCAAGAAGTCGAATCTGGCAAAGGAGGCTGCAATTCTGCTCATGATAGCACATGATGGATTCTCAGCTCAGGAGCTGTGTTTACATTATCTGTTGGCATCGCCTAATCTTGATGAAGTAATTCTTTCATCTGCCCTCAGTAAGTTGAATCATGACGAGATGATCAGTTTGATTCGGTATCTGGGAAAGTGGCTAAAGAAATATGAGAAATTTCCCCAAGCAGTTCCTTGTCCTAAAGCCTCTACTGTATTGGGTTTGAAGGCTTGTGATTGGGTTCCCAAATTCGACGATGTCATCAGATGTCTCGGTTTGGTGCTGGACGAGAACTTTTCTTCATTGGTATTGCATTCAGATTTTCACGAGGAGTTGAAATCCATGGAGGAATTGGTTAGTTCTTTTGCCTTGGAGTCGAGACTCTGCTGTTTTGTTGCTAATGTAGCAGGAAATTTGAGAACTGAATTGTAAGGTGCGAGGATATTAAATATCTTCTATATAACACCATGCCTTTTATGGTGCATTTGAGCAGAACTATATAGTGACCTTAAAGGCTACTTGAGGTTGTTTTTGTAAACTGCTTTTTCTCAGATAGGGAAACGAAAAAAAATAGTTATTTCTTTCAAAACGATGAATTTTTTGAATGGTTGTACTTTTGTTAACATTGCTTGTAAACAACTGAATAGCAGTTTTAACAATTGATGTTAGATTTTGATGGATTGTTTTGAAGTATAGTTAGGTTTTGAACTAAAATTGTGCTTCCATATTTCGAATAGTAAGAGCATCAATTTGAAATTTACGCAATGTGATATCACATTAATGGTCTTGAAAGTGTATGAATCACTTCATCAACATCTTCAAATATAGCAGAGTTTGATTTTGCATTTCTTCCTTGTGAGAAAAGTGAGAACTCCATTGAATGCGAACCATTTTCACTATGAAAATAAATCATTCATGAAAGCAAGTTACGGAAAAAATACAATAAAACAACCAAACAAAAGTTGCCTAGACATATTTGCACTGAATGATTGTTCTAAAAAGGCAAAAAATAATTCCAGAACACTCCTTCACAACCTGTGAATATTGTATTGCATCCCCCCTCAAAAACCTTCCGTTAGCGCAAAAACTCGGCCTGCTAAAGGTGGAGGTAAAGCAGCTATGGTTTGCTGAATTTCCTGATTGGCCAAAAAGCAGAAAATGTATTTTAAGGTTCTTTTCAAATGCACCAATACAGACCACAAAAGCATCTTGAGAGACTTCTTGACATTCTCAAATATGGAAACAAGTGGGAAGAAGAGGATGCTACTAGGTAGAAGGGTTGTACCAGAAAGCTTAACTAAAAACATGATCAACTTAAGAGGTCAAATTGGCGTTAAAGTACCTCTGTAGTATAGCGAGCTGAAAAGTGAATCAGAAGAACCGCTTTGTTCTTAAACTTATCGGCATGGTTTATTATCTGGAGACGGATCATCAACATAAGAAGCAAAGGAGGATGCAAAGTTATAAGATATGAGTTGCTACAAGAATATACCAATAGCAGGTGTTAAAATGTTGAGTAAATGAACCTCCAACAGGTGAGTGTGTCCATATTCTCTTGCATGCTCCACTGTAACTTTGTTTTCAAGAAATGTGCTCTGCAAAAGAGGACTGGTTATGCAGCAAGAAGGATTACACCTTAATAGAACTCAACCTCCCAAGATGACAATGAACAACGTTTTTTTTTTTCACAACTCAACCTTCACCCAGAGTATTGATTAAACTGATATTGATCCATGAACAAAGATGCAAAAGCCCCTTGTACCTAAAATTCGGGCATTCTAACGCTAGCAATAATTTTATATAATTAGATACACATTTATAATTAAAAATTATGCATCTGTCTGCCGTGTGTGGTTTCCATTGTGAAAAAACTCTACTTGTATTTTCAAAGTTAATCAGGTATGAAATAACAAATAATTAAATAAAAGTTTGAGGAAAACAAGATTGAGATATAATATTATAGTAGTCTTCAAGTAACAGACCTCCATAACCAGGATCTTTGCCCTCAGTACATCAATATTATTTTCATCAACTATAAAGTCAGATGTCGTATCTCCTGTAAAGGCCACTTCAGGTTCACTAATTGTGTAAGTAACCTGCCACAATGCAAAATAACCAGGATAGTTATGTTTTAGGGCAAATTTTCAGACTTCAGAGAATGAAGTAAAAGAAAAAATATCATCAGAGAAAAATTCATGTCAAAGTCGTTACTCTGTTAATATTTAACCAAGATATAAAAAGGTTGAAATTTAAGGCTTAGACATTGCAGTAAAGGCCCTAGGTTTTGACCAAATGACAGTCAACAACACAGACCTCCACACCAGATAACCGAAGTTTCTTGATCTCATTGCCAGAGAGGCCCAAGTACTCCTTCTTAAGCTTCTGTTTTACAGAGTAAACTAGATAACCCTGCCATGGTTATTCACAGCAGTTAGAAGTAAACTTTGGACATAAAAGAATACAATCATCAAAGTTAATATCATCGTAGCATGGTAGTATGGGTACTACTCTCATTCATATTAGCCATATGTTCATTATTAGCCATCTTATAATCATTTAAGAATGATTTAGTGTCCAGCGGTACTAAAGAATTATTTGTGAAGCAAAATTCATAATGTAAACACATGAGGAATTTGTAATATTAGAAATCTTCCCAAATCTTCATGAAGCTCGAAGTGTATGTGCGATAAATAGGGCTACCTGGCTTTGAATGACATGGTATGTCTTAAAAGCCCTCGCTTTCAGGTCCCTTCTCAAAGACAGCTCTTCTCCTGCAAACAAAAGTTATGAATGGAAGAATGCATCGCACTGTAGCACAATATTTGGGTAAAAATGACCAAATTATTCATTGGACATCATAAAATTGATTCAATAAGGGACGCTACCCACGTCCAAGCCAATTAAATTACATCTCAGCTCAGAATGATCCAATCTTCTGTGCACCTCAAGCAGATTTTCTACATCAGTCTTTATAGATTTGGGTAAAATGATTGTTGGCGGTTCCATGTTGTATAATCCACGCGTAGCAACGTACAACGGAAGTCCCCCCTATTAAGCACAAAAGCGACTGATAAACTGCAGAAGAAAAAAACGCGAAAATCCTTACATTTGGACTGCGCTCGATGTTCGATCAGAATTTTACAGGAACCTAATCCAACATACTTGGGAAGGTATAACCACATTCAAATTTTATATAGATACTCGAATTGAAGATAGCTGCAGCACAATGCACAACAACAAGTAATTGCTCGAATTTAAGCCGTAAACCCTAAACCACATGTAATTACACTTTGACCAATCTGCATGTTTTATTGCATCTACTAATCGCATCAACCGTGAGGTCTCCCGCCATGGGAAGAAGCTCAGACGATAATCAGAAAGTTGAAAAAATGAAGCAGTGAGAGTGACTTCGACTTACAATGTGATCCATATGGCCATGGGAGATGAAGAGGAAGTTTTGTCCAATAGCCTTCTGGGGGCAGCGACCAATATCAAAGGCCAAATTAAGGGTTGGGAAGATTACGCAAGTTTCATGGCCTCCAATGGACAAACCCTTAATTGGGTATCCTTCAATTTGCATTCCCTTCTTCGCTTCCATCGGATCCGAATCGGAGCTTTTGCTACTACTTCCGGTTCCGGTTTCCATGGGAGAAATATTTGAGCGGAGAAATGACGGAGACTGAGAATGCCACTGACCTGCTACAAGTTCGAACTACGGTTTTAATATTTTGATTGACATTTTCGTAAGTCTTTGTGTTCGGTGTTCCACGTCGATACATGGGTAAATATATTTTTGAAATATCGAAAATCCATCGAAATATAAAAAATAATGATGAAAAGTTTAATAAAAAAAATCACTGAAATTTTATATTAAAAACAAAGGAACGCGAGAGCCAAACTTGTGTTCCACGTATTTTTTTTAATTCAGCAATGATGGGGAAGGATCTTCGAATTTATTCAATTATTTGTCTTTATAAAAAGGATTCTCTTTTTAAAATAAACATTTTAAGTATGACAAACCATTTTTATATAAGTGCTTAAAATCATATTTGTATTGTGAAAAATTTTTAAACTCCATTACTATCTTATATATGCTTTTATTTATATTGAATAGCTGAATATTTTTTTTCCAGAAAGTGAGATTCAAAATTTAAAAGAAATTATTAATATTTTTAATCAATTAAGCATAGCTTAACCAATTGCCTTATTAAAATTATTGTTTTGAGATGGCAAATTGTTGCCCTGTTAATATTGTTTTTGTTGGTATTAATAGATTCAAGACCCTTAAATGAGCTAAAATAACATTTTAAATAAACTCTTAATATTTATTTTTATTTATTATTATTACTATTTTTTTTAGTTACGACCCATAAAGTTAGACCTTTTGATCGGCTTCAACCATTTGATCTATGTTCAAATTGATAAATACGATAATTTTAACATGTTAATTAGATTAGTCCATCAAAACCCAAACGGGCTTACTTTCTAATTATTTATATTTTTTACCAATCAAAATATAACTTAACGGGAAGGCACATGTATTCAACTATGAGGTTGAGAGTTCGAATCCCCACCCTACGTGTTGAATTTTTTTTTTAAAAAAAAACTATTTCTATTTTCTCTTTTCAGGGACTAAGGTAGTGATTTTTTGAATCTTCACCCATTGGAGCTATTTTTTCTTAGTGGAGAATAAATTGCAGTGACAAGAAGCTTTTCAATGGGGGAAACTCCGCCTGCCTGCCTGCCCGCCCAATGGTAATGACAATAGCAATGGATCTATTTAATGCTTCAGGAACATTCTCTCAACTCAAGAAAGCAATCCAAACGTTTCCCTCTGAGAAATATAGACTAAAAGGATGAAATAATAATCCACATAATTTCTTAAGAAAGAAAGAAAAAGAAGACTCAATCTATAAATATGCCAGATATTCACTCTGATGATAATCTTGCACAGAAAAATATTCAATGAGAATGTCCAATAAGTCCCACCTTATCATCAAGAAAAAGACCACAGATTTAGACAGTAGGTGAAACAAAGAACTTGATTATTAAATAATCAGGACTTACTACGTCAAAAGAAAGTCAGAGAACTTCACTAGTCAAGGGATATATTTCAACCGAAAGAACATAAGTAACGAGTCTCCACCCTCCACCTCACAGATTGCTGAGCTAAAAAAAACCCGAAGGGTGTTTGAAATAGAACACGCTGATGGATAGAAACAAGATCCGTCACAAAGATGCAAGAGCTGCTCTCTTTCTCTCTCATTAACTATTATATTGTCCTTGCAAAGTAACTAGGAATAGAAAATGGCAACGGCCATAAAGTTAAGGATATTAAAGTGGCTAGTGATTAATTGTAAACCTCCGGTCAAAATCAAGATACAGTGCATTCTCAGCTCAGAAGTCAGGTACTCGTAAAAAAATTGAAAGTACCCTAGAGAAACTACAATGACAAAACATTTTAAAAAAATAAGCATTGCATGTTATCAGCGTAGATGTTAAATAAACTAATCCACACCATGTCCATAATTGATATATAACGGGAGAATGAAAGAACAATATGTAAAATATATTGTATATACAATCATATTGCTTTCATTCATAACCAGATTTACTGTTCTCTTAAATTGTTCAACACAGACAAATTAAAGTACAGATCGAGAATATCAAACACCATTAGTTCAATAAACTTTTTGTTTTTCCCGTGAAATCATGCCTCTTGATTTTTGAATTCCAATATAATTTTGCAATCTCAAGATCCTTGCTTGGAAATGACATTTCATCACTAGAACTTTAGCCATTCTAGTTTTTAAGAAAATCTAGAAAACCTGTAATTTAATTACCAAGCCTCACAGTAACAACTCATTACCTGGTGGCCATTTATGCCAGCCGCCATTTTCAATCATCGTCTTTACTAACTCGCAAGTTGGAACCAAGGCTGCTGTTCTGTTGCTGTACAAAATCAAAATTTTACAAATGAAATTCTAAACAAGCTTTCTTATTTCATATTTGATAAGAAGGTACAAATGCTCACTGATTTTGCCATCCAATCTTCTTACGCCATCCAAGATCCCAAAGATTAACCTCCATACTCTTCCGGAGCTCATGGAAAGGCAATGTTCAAATCATTAATGGCAACGTGTAGACAACGTGTTACATGTTCTCGGCTCACCCTCCAAACAATTTACAGCTTTCACTTCCATCCATTGTAGAACAGGTAGTGCTGCCAGACGCTGGATGACCTATTAAATAGAACAGGTAATCTACAGCACAAATTGAACGAGTTGAGAAACACTTGCCAACCAATCTTATAGGTATTTATGCAAATGGATTTTGAATTTTATTCTTACTAACAAATGATACAACAGTGCAAAAACCCAAGTGCTCTACACGAAAAAGATTATCAGTTTGTAAATGATTGAATCAATTACAATTTGAAACCTACTGTGTCATAAAATTGGTTTTAACTCCACGCCAGATATCTCTCAGATCAACTTCATAAAGGTCAAAAGCAAGGTTCAGAAAGGAAATCCCCTACTGCAGTTCTTCTTTGAGGTTTCTGCCAAACGCTTGATGCCTTTTGCACTTTGATAGAACTCCATCAACTCATCAGCGACATCTTTTGGTTGGCTGTTTACAAATGTCTTCAAGAACCTTTTCTCTGTCATCCGAAGGGCCCTGAGCATAGCATGGCCTTTGATCTGCAAATGCAGACCCATTTCCTCCATCTTCCCAGAGAGAAGCACCCGTGGCTTCAAGATAGCATCCAAGTTAAAATAAAATAAAAATGGATAGCTAAGAATAACTTTAGCAGGTAACTTCAACGTGCATAAGATGAAAGTCATGTTCCTTTGCACTTTATCAACTGATAGAGTCAAGATAAGGGGAGATCGTCCTAGAAGAGCAAAAATCTCATCATCTGTGAAACCAAACTTTTCCAAATTGGCAACCTTTTGACGGATCGTTTCAAGCCGTGAGATACCCATAATTGTAACAACATATTTGTACATTTTATCACCCTTTGAGAGCCCTGTTTTTTGTATGTACTTCAACTTTTCATCATTAAATGAACTTCTTGGGATCAATGAGGGGCGAGATATAAGCATAAGTATCAAATCCTTTTTACTAAGCCCCATTTCTTCATACAGCGAAATTACCGGTTTGATTCTATTATGGAAATCATAGGTCAGAAGTGAGGGGTTTCTTACAATGGCTTTAATAAGAACTTCCTTAGATTCAAAAATTTTCAAGAAAAACGCAATCCTCTCATGGAAGTTGTTGTTGATCCGACATTTGAGGAACCGAGGGCGACAATTGATGATCTTCACCAGGTCAGGAGATGTGATGCCTAGGCCTTTTAGCAGATGGAGTTTGTTTTGTAGTTGGTTCAAGTCACTCCTGAGCAAAGAAGGCCCACGTGCAAAGATCTTTGCAATATCATTATCCGTACAACCCCATCTCCGGAAAACATCGGAAGAGTCATTGGCATGTGCTAACGTCCCTTCACCCGCCCCTTCAACTTGGTTGGCACTTACAGTTGAACAAGTGGCAACCCTTAAGTTTTGCGAAGTTTCTAGAGGTTGTTTTCTCAAAATGGAAGCAAATGCTTGCCTCGAACATTGTAAATACCGGAGCTTGAAAAAAGCCTCGACTTTTGTTTTCATATCAACTTTACAATTCTGGAATCGCTGACACTAGATTTATCATACAATACAAGAAAATGCAAAAAGATTAGCCTCGATTAAACCACAATGTGGCATTTTATTTTTCATCATTAAGTAAATTTACAAAAATATTAGTTTTCATATGAATCTTCTCCCATTCATCAGTCCATACAATCTTCAAATAAAATTTCTTAAAAGAATATAGAATAAGAGGGAGAGAGTGTGTGCTTGCATGTGTGAGTTTGTGACTTTATTGCCATCTATGGTAGATGAACACATTTTTTAGGTCTTTAAGAACAAATGGAAACACAATTAAAATTTTCGTAGAAGTTCTTATTTCTAAAATTTAAGCCAAAATGTGCATTTTCCTATCGTAATGACTCTAAACTTAATCTTCCTTTTTCACACTTAATTATAACTATCTTCCATTCCCTCTTTTATATCCCAACTTTCTTCAACTTCAACTCTTCAAATTATATCTCAAATCTAGGAGTGAGAATGACTTAGGCAGGTTTGAGAAAGTTTTGGACAGTCCAGAAAAAAGTTTCGTTGTAATTTTTCTTGAACCCACCAGAAAAGGTCTTCTTGCATTATAACTGTTAGACCACCTATCATAAAGACATATAATAGGAAGGGCAAAGGGGTAATTGTAGAGGGCCATAACGGCCAAGAGAGAGAAGATGGTACGAGTGGGGCAATGTAAGAGTGGGCTGTTGTCTATAAGGCCAGGGAATGTAGGAGGGAGGGGATCATCCTAGTTTTCATGCTTTTGCAGCTTTTGTAGTAGGTTGGAGAGATTACTCACCCTCTCGGATTGGTGAGTTGGTTTTGTATTGCCTACGGGTTCTTTTCTAAGGAATCAAACAGCTTGTGAGGATTGATACCTCACAATAACATGCAGAATAAATTAGATAAGATTATAAGAAAATATATCCCAATAGATAAGAAAATTTGAGCTATTTTGCGATACCTCGATTGTCTAAGGTATCTAAGCAAGATACCCCGTTATTTTTTCAAAATGCCCCTCCCCAAAATAATTACTAAAAATGATAAGTAACCATCGTTGTATAATCTAGCCTGTTTTTACATCGTCCAAATACTTGACCCTTCTACACTTTGACCTTTTTTTTTCCAATTCCACAAAATGAAAGCTTAGCCAAGCATCCATTCTAAACCCATTGGTGGCCTTGCTAGGTTTTAGATATTGGCTCCTCATCTCAATGATTAGGCTTCTTGAGTTATTAATTTCTACACCGACTGATCGTATCATGTGCTAAAAGCCTAAAAATGAGGGAAAATAACATACACACGCAACAAGCAACTTTCTGCCCTTTTTGGTGTTTCAAGCTACATATAACTTCTTCAAAGATTTGCAAAAGCATGGGATGAATTTCTAACCCAACAAAGCCAATCTACTCTTCTACGATTTACATTTTAAAACAAAAATGTGCTAACCATCAATTGAACTTAATCTGTTTCCTTCTTTAAAATCTGAACAAAAATGCGGAAATTTGTCCTATAAATTCAATTGCAGACCCAAATGGGGGTGGGTTTAATGGGCTTCAATTAACCGACTAGAGAAAGAGTTTCTCTGTGTTGATTGTGAATTCATTGAGGGAATTTCCGCATTCTGATTGATAACATGAGACAAGAACAAACTACACTACATAGTAGAAAAATAGAAAACTAATAACATAGACCAGATAGCAGACGGCAAATCACAAGTCAGCACAGCCCACAACTACAATTGACCAGAGCAATGCTAGAAAATGGAAAACGGGAGAGAGAGGAAGAAGGAGGCAGGAGGAAAAAGCTTACCAGAAAGAGCGAGGGAGGTTGAAACCGAAAGAGAGGCCGCCGGAGAATGGAAGCAATAATGGAGAAACGCCAGAGGATTACACCAGAGAGGACTGATGCAACACAAAATCCAAAATCGCGACGCGAGAGGCTGAGATCAGAGATGGAAGTTTGTCAATTTCCCGAGAGACGCTATCTCGCCAGTAAGAACAAGGATGCGGCTTTTTGGCAAAATCCCTTACATCAACATAGTAATGCTAATTAATTTAATTAATTAGCATTACCGGTCGAGTCCAAGTGCTATATATAGAAGAGAACCAATAATTGTGCCCGGCACAATTATTGGTTCTCTTCTATATATAGCACTTGGACTCGACCCGTAATGGTATCAGAGCCAACTCGACTCTTTCTCTCTTTCTTTATCTCTCTCATGGAGTAAACTCCTCTCTGAATCTGGGGGTGGAAGGAAGATGGATCTAAGTTTGCTCTAAGGTTATATTCTTCATTTTTGATTCTTAATCTATCTGCTAAATAAATCTGATTTGGGAATCTCTCTTGTTCTAACTCTTGATAAACTCTAGCTATCCATTCTCTAGGTATCATGATAAAGGCGTGGTTAACATTCATGATTGAGAATTTATAGTTAGAAGATATGAAGATGTTTGGATATAGATCGATTGATCGAAGAATTCGATTTAATTAAAAGATAGATTATTATCAAAATAAAAGAATATGAACTTAGTAAGATCTTATTTCTATCTCCTAGATATCTTCAGATTCTCTTTTCCCCCTCTCTCATGCTCTCGAAGTTCCTCTCTAAGATCTCTCCCCATTCTCAACCCATCGTCGACACAGCTTCCTCTTCCTCTTCTTCTTCAAGCAAGCAAAAATCAGAAAATGATTTTTCAAAGATTTTAGCCGATCACAATTCAGCTGAAGCCCATCTGGCTAAGGTCGA